CACTGACTTCCACAGTGGTTGCACAAGATTGCATTCCCACCAGCAATGGATGAGGGTACCCGTTCTTCCACAGCCTCTCCAACAAAGGTTATCCTTGGTGTTTTTGAGTTTAGCCATTCTGACAGGTGTAAGATGATATCTCAAAGTTGTTTTGATTTGCATTTCCCTGATTGCTAAGGAAGTTGAGCATGACCTTAAGTGTCTTTTGGCCATTTGAACTTCTTCTGTTGAGAATTCTCTGTTCAGTTCAGTGCCCCATTTGTTAATTGGGTTAATTAGCATTTTAAAGTCTAGTTTCTTGAGTTCTCTATATATTTTGGAGATCAGACCTTTGTCTGTTGCGGGGTTGGTGAAGATCTTCTCCCAGTCAGTAGGTTGCCTTTGTGTCTTAGTGACAGTGTCCTTTGCTTTACAGAAGCTTCTCAGTTTAAGTAGGTCCCATTTATTCAATGTTGCCCTTAATGTCTGTGCTTCTGGGGTTATACATAGGAAGCGATCTCCTGTGCCCATCTGTTGTAGGGTATTTCCCACTTTCTCTTCTATCAGGTTCAGTGTGTTCGGACTGATATTGAGGTCTTTAATCCATTTGGACTTGAGTTTTGTGCACGGTGAGAGATATGGGTCTATTTTCATTCTTCTACAAGTTGACATCCAGTTGTGCCAGCACCATTTGTTGAAGATGCTTTCTTTCTTCCATTGTATGCTTTTAGCTCCTTTATCGAAAATGAGGTGTTCATAGGTTTGTGGGATAAAATCCGGGTCTTCTATACGATTCCATTGGTCGACTTCTCTGTTTTTATGCCAGTACCACACTGTTTTCATTACTGTAGCTCTGTAATAGAGTTTGAAGTCAGGGATGGTAATGCCTCCAGAAGATCCTTTATTGTATAGGCTTGTTTTGGCTATCCTGGGTTTTTTGTTTTTCCATATAAAGTTGATTATTGTCTTCTCCAGATCTGTGAAGAATTTTGATGGGATCTTGATGGGGATTGCATTGAATCTATAAATTGCCTTTGGTAGAATTGCCATTTTTACTATGTTGATCCTCCCAATCCAAGAGCAAGGGAGGTCCATCCATTTTTTGGTATCCTCTTCAACTTCTTTCTTCAATGCCTTAAAGTTCTTGTCAAATAGATCTTTCACTTCCTTGGTTAGATTTACCCCAAGATATTTTATGCTGTTTGTGTCTATTGTGAATGGTGAAGCTTCTCTGATTTCCCTCTCTGCTTCCCTATCCTTTGTGTATAAGAGGACGACTGATTTTTTGGAGTTGATCTTGTATCCTGCCACATTACTAAAGCTGTTTATCAGCTGTATAAGTTCTTTGGTGGAGTTTTGGGGGTCGCTTATGTACACTATCATATCATCTGCAAATAACGAAAGTTTCACTTCTTCCTTTCCAATTCGAATCCCCTTGATCCCATTATGTTGTCTTATTGCTATTGCTAGAACTTCAAGCACTATATTGAAGAGGTATGGCGAGAGTGGACAGCCTTGCCGTGTTCCTGAGTTAAGCGGGATGGCTTTGAGATCTGGTGATGGATAGAGATAGAGACAGAGACCCACACAGGAGCACTGGACTGAGCTCCCAAGGTCCCAAGGAGGAGCAGAAGGAGGGAGAACATGAGCAAAGAATTCGGGACCACGAGGCGTGCATCCACCCACTGAGACAGTGGAGCTGATCTACGGGGAACTCACCAAGGCCAGCTGGACTGTGACCGAAAAAGCATGGGATAAAACTGGACTCTCTGAACATGGCGAACAATGAGGGCTGATGAGACACCAAGGACAATGGCAGGGGGTTTTGATCCTACTTAATGTGCTGGCTTTGTGGGCGCCTAGCCAGTTTGGATGTTCACCTTCCTAGATATGGACGGAGGGGGGAGGACCTAGGACTTAACACAGGGCAGGGAACCCGGACTGCTCTGTGGACTGGAGAGGGAGGGGGAGAGGAGTGGGGGGAGGGGGAGAAGGGTGGGAGGAGGGGAAGGGAAATGGGAGGCTGGGAGTAGGTGGAAACTTGTTTTTTGTTTATGTTTTTTTTTCTTCTTTTCGCAATAAAAAAAAAAGAAAGTATTTTCTGAGTATTTTATCTGACATTGGAGAGTATGAAAATTCTAATATCAGACCCTCCAACCTTCTAGTGCTGAGGTGGTCCTGTGAATCTCAAGTGAAATTCACAGACCACTACAAAATCATGAAAAAACAAAATTGATCACAGGACTTCTCTTCATACCTGCAGTTCACAAGCAGGGTTTCCTGCCACTTACAGCTGACAAAATGGTAAGGATAAGATGTGATTTATCAAGGAATTTCTAGGGAACCCTGGAAACAACAGAGGAAACCAAGACAGAGAAATCAGAAAATTTGAATCCTCTTGCATTTCTCTGATAGAAAATAAAATCACAAAATATAACCTAATCAGTCAGCATGAGCTAATATCTAGTAGTCAGAAAATATAAAATGCAGATCAGAATGTAGACCAAATGAAACTTTTGTTCATAATTGATTATAATTTATGATGGTGCAAATCCATTTGCAAAATAGTTTGTCAGTTTCTTATAAAAGAATATGGGCAATAAAATGGCCCAAATTCAGTACACAGATGGGTTAACACAAATCTAAGAAAAATTGTCTCCATAAAATCTTGATCATGAGCATGGATGTTTATAGCTGGTTTCTTTCCAAAACTGGACAATATAGGCTATGCCCATAGAATATTGTTTAGTAATAAAAAGAAACCATCCAGTCACCAGAAAACAAGGAACAGTTTGAATTCGTCAAAGAAGCCAATATTAGAAAGTTGCACACAATTTGACTCCAACTAAAGAACACTGTGAAACAAGTAAATCTACAGAGAACTCAAAGCTCCACCTTTTGCTCAGCGATTGCGAGAGGGGAAACAAAATTTTGTGGGTGAGGAAAAGGAATTTTTGGAAGCTGAAAATACTATGGAGCTTCTGTAATAGTTGATTATGGCATTATTCATTTATTATTATCTATAAAATTTAAAATTGCAAATTTTCATTAAAAGTAATATGTAATATTAACTCTTTTGTATTACACTATTGCAGTATGACAAAGACAAGGAAACTGCATAAGAGCTCTGTAAGCCTCACTCTGTTAATAGTTTTTAAATTCAATTAGTATGGAAAATATTTCATACCACTAAGAATAATAACATTCATAAAGAAAATTCTAAGATCCTTAAATGAGAAAAATCCAATGAAATAGAAAGAAAAAGGAAAAATTCACTAGTCACAAATAAGAAGAAAATATGGTCTTGCGAACATTTTCTGTGTTGATATATGCCTGTTTTACAGTTTCTTTCAATGTTTTAGAATATAGTATGAAAAGAACATTTGCAAAATTCTAAGGATCAAAACAAATATTAAAATAATATCATTTTTCTAAGATCTCTTTCCTGATTAAAGCTACAAAAGAGAAAGGGTCAAATTGATTCAAACATTTTGGCTCTTTGTATATCCTCATTGGTAAGAATGAAGTTTCAAGGCTACTTTTATTATTGATTTGCTGATTTCACTGCAGGTGGGCCAAGTTTTTCTGAAGCTTTTGTATTTGCTCTGTAGATATCATTTACTTATAGACTGATTAGAATTGCTTCTATCAACTTTGAAAAAAGAAATCAGAAACTCTCATTGAAGAATTACTTACCCAATGATTTTTATGTTGAACACAGGACATTATCTCATTGCAGAATATGACCTTGCTTTTGAGTTAGGAGTTATTTAATAATCAAGCTTGATTATGACATAGTTGAATTGATCCTAACTCAAAGTAAATATAAGACTCAAGGTCATTTGAGATACACCAAAGCTTTGAAGATCTCTCAGAGGAGGGCAGTTTAATGTGGCATTGGGAACAGAGGATCTAGCAAACATGAAAATGTATTTACCTGTGATACTGATGGAGCTGAAGTGGCAGGAACAGCTGACAATCTTTATCCTGGAGCTAAATCAGACACAGACAAGGCTGAAGCACTATTTGACTCCACAAACCCTCGGGACAAAATTTTCCTGGTTATTATGGCAATAGCAATGGCTTTTGTCGGGAAACAGTGTTATACAAACTTGGACTTGAAAGAGAGTGGAGCAGGGCTTCCCACTGAGTTCCCCCAATGGGAGTGTTGTTTATTAAATTTATTCTTTTCCAGCACTGTCTTCTCCTGTATTCAAGGCTGTTTTAGAATTATTGGCAACACTTGTTTTTTGAGATTTAAATGCGATTACAACATTCCTCCCTTCCATTTCCTCCCTCCAAACACTCTCATGTGAATCTAGCCCTTGCGAATTCATGGCCTCTCTATTCACTAATTGCTATCGCATGCATAGATGTATATCTACAAACATACATACTCCCAACATAATCTTTTAATCTCTGTAATGTTGCGTTCATTCATGTTTTCAGGACTGTCCATTTGGTACTGGATTACCAGTTGGCGTGTTCTTTCTGTGGAGGATCACTCTTCTGCTTCCAGATTCTTACAGAATGTATTTCTCCATTGTCTTGTTAGGACACAGTTAAGTTCTACAAAGCTTTCTTTTGCTGTTCTCTTGATACACAGTCACATTATTTGAGATTCTTCATGGTTAGTTTTTTTTTTTTAATTATCCTGTTACGCTTGTTGTTTGCAATAACTACTTTATCCTCATTTATCATTCACCAGTGAGTAAAAGACTTTCTCACTATACCATCTCCTGTTTTCCTCTAGGCCTCCTCTCCTCTCCTTGTTCACTACTTCTCATTCCTTTATGAATAGAAAACTTTATGAAAGATAAAATGAGTTGGGTAATTTAAGATTTGCATATGAGCCGGGGGGGGGGGGTGGAGCAGAAGTAGAAGCCATCTGTGTGAAAGAACTTTATCAGATGACTCAATACCACTGCAGGTATTCCTCTCAGTCCATTGCGTCATCGCCCAGCCCCACCAGTTATTCCGACTATCAGAATAAAAGCTGACGAGAAACGTTCCAAGTGCACACACAGTACTCATTTTTTAAAGCTTAAAACTTGTGCTGCCACTCGAAGAGACAAAACTAAATCATTTCATTTCTTTCACGGAATCATCTGGACAGGTTGTACTTTTTATTGTTGATGTTTACAGATTTTAAACATAGGAAATACAAAGTTTGTGGTATTTACTCAGTTGTTAAAAATCGAGGGAAGATTAAGTCTATACTGATACTATGCCTAATTGATAATGTAATTCGTTTAAAGTCTTTTAAAATTGCTTGTCACAAAATATTTTTAGGCATTCTTTGATGCTTAAAGATCTTTAAAATAAATTTGGGTATTATAGATACCTGTAAAGTACTGAATGCAATTGCTATAAAGGAACTTGAAGCTACTACCACTATTTTCTTAGCAAACTTTGTAAAAAAAAATACAGGAAAAATCTAGATTTTTTGACAAATCGTTCATGTTTATTTCATTTGTAGGACAATGTTAATTTTGATAGCATTTTTTAACAGTGGAAAATAGCCAATCAAAAATAGAGTCTAATAATTAGAGTAATCAATATTTCTCAGAATCTCTTTTGGGTCATGATATTGTGGCAGGAATATAAATAAAAAGACAACTTCTACTTTCAGCCACTTTGCTCATATCTAGACTAAAACAGAACTTGACAAAATCTTCAGCATTCATCACAGAACAGAGGAGGGCAGTAGGCTAAAGTTCAGGTTAGGGGATAGAAGAGGAAATGGTTGTCACTTTAAACAATTCCTGCTGCTGTTTCTCCATAACTGGAACCTCTTCTCCTCACGAAATAGTGTTGACAGTTTCTGACTGAAATACACATTTTAGGGGAAAACACAGTCAGTGAGTGAATCTATGTGTTATGGTTCAAGGCAATTTATGAAAAACCTGAGGGTAGGAAAGAGGACTTTTGATGTCAGCTTTTTAACTATGAGACCATGTTAATTAGGAGGTGACAGCTTGGGGTCGGGCTCCTGCTTACTGGTGGGTTAACTACCTCCAGTTTGAATGCAAACCAATTCTTAGACATGTGGCTCAACCCACAAAATAAAATTCACCTGAATACACAAATTAATAAGGTAAGTGTTGACTATTATAGTTCTTTTTAGAAGTGGACATTTCTTTCTTCAGTAAGCCTGGAGACAATTCTGAAAACAAGCAGATGGCTGATTTCTGTTCTGGTAATAGAAATGATAATTTCAAATTGTTATGTCTATGTGCCTCTGATTTTTCAAAGAGTTGAAATTGCAGGGACTGAGATTGTTTTCCCTCTGGTAAGGATAACCATGACGAATAGTATTTCGTGGGTTCATAGCACATATAAGCCATTATCTGAATAACAACAAACAAATGGCAAGGTGTCACTTAGGCCTGACTTCTATTGTGCCATTTAGAGCTATATTGAAATGACTATTATCTTGGGTGGGTTGTCTTAGAGATATTCAGAGAATAAATGCCAGGAAGAATACCATTGGTTATTAAAGGGAGGAAACAAAGTATTAACTACAAATTTCTCTAGGATCTTTGCATTTTTGAAGTATATTCTTGGAAATTTATAGTGGCATTTTAATTGTATTTTAATAAATAAAAACTGCCTGAAGATCTGAGAGTAAACAGTCCCACTGCTCAGCCTTATAGACCAGGTTATGGTAACACATACCTTTAATCCCAGTAGCCACAATGATACACACATTTAATCCCAGACGTGCTGCCTTTAATCCCCACCCTAGTGAGTTATATAAAAAGGGGGATTTAGCTCTCAGACACACAGTCTCATTCTGAGAGTGATGGAGGAAGAATTGCCATTTCAGACTGAAGTTAAGGTAAAAGCCAGTGGCTGGCTGTTTTGCTTTCCAGATCATCAGGTTGAACCCCAATTTAACCCTGAGTTATTGCAATCCTGCTTCAGAAATTGTTAATGGCACATGCCTTCCCTGATTGAACAGTTGTGTTACCATGCCATTTACCTTGACCCACTGAGTTACCTTCCAGCCCATAGTTTAAAAGTTGATCAGGGGGTGAATTAGGACCATCCTGCTGAGGCATGTCAATTTGGAGTAAATCACTCCTTAAGAAGGTCCATTATTTTTGAGAGTAAGTGGGAAAAGTAAAATCAAGATCCATAACTTCAAAGGGCTTTTCTATAACCTCAGCATTCCCTTTTTCAGACATAAATTTTATAATATCTTAATTTTACTTCCCTTTAAATATGTTTATCGAACATTTGAAATGCTTTCATCCAATGACATATATTCAGGAACAAAGACAGATTTGTGTTAGATTCCGGATAGTACCTTTATAAAGTGGCAGCCTATCTTTATTATTTAATACAGACAAAATTGAACTCTCTGCTGAAATATGGTTACATTTTAAGATTTCTTAGACTTTTCATTTGCTTCATCAATGTTGAAAAAATTGAAGATTATTTTCCATTCATTATAGAATCTTATATATATTATGTGTTTATCTAGCTATAGATGTATCCCCTACACTAGCATAGTGTTTAAATTATACTCTCCACCATCTTGACTAGTTTTGCCTGTTTATTATAAAGTTAAATGATTTATGCTTTTAGTAGGTGTGGAAAATACTTAAACACTGAATATATATGTATAATTTTTGCATTTTTATTCAGGATAGATTCTTTTATCATACATCATATCCTGATTATAATTTCCCCTCCCTCTACTAATATTAAGCATGTTTTCACCCAGGTAACAGGTAAGGTGAAGGCATTTAACTGGTATATATATAATACCAGTATATATATTATATATAAATATATATAATAAATATATATATTTATTCTAAATGTGAAAGCATTTAAAAACTTAAAAATCTGTTTTATCCCAAGAATACCACTTTGAGATGGGGACTTTTAAACCTGAGGATTGTGAAGTCTTTGCTGAGTTCCATGGAATTTTAATGGATAAACGTTTCACCAAATATTGGGATGATGTTGAAACATTCCTGGCGAGACCAGATGATCTAGTCATTGCTACTTATCCTAAATCTGGTAAGTGTCCTTGCTATGACAGAATGTTGCTTTGACACATAGAAATTATAAAACTACATCATTATTAAATCATCAGTATTAAAGTGTTTACCTGACTCAAAATCATTTCATATTAAGGACAGTTGTAGTAATTTTGGTGTCAAAATATTAATAAATTTCACATTATCAACTTTATTTCACAATCTCAAGCTACAAAAACACAACCAGTAATTTCATTTAGGTCACTGATAAGTGGAACTTGTTGATCATGTAATTATCTTATTCAATACAGATGAGTCAATTTGAGATATATGTTGCATAATGAATATTTAAAACTACTGAGATTTTATTATTGCTATGTATTTAGACCACAAGCCCTTTCAAATGTGAACAAAAACTCTTTCAGGCAACCACTGATTTTCATTGCATATACTCACAAATTTTAATTTCAGTGTATATTCACAAATTACAATTCTTTTTTTATGAGATTAACTTTACTACTATACATGGTTCCAGAGTCTTAAAATAATAAACTTTAAAATTCAAAGAAACACAATCATGTGTTCTCTGTCTTTGTATTAACATTTGATGCTTAAAAATGAATCACTTATCTACTTATGACCATATAATTTTATAATTCCAATATTTAAGAGAAATGAGAATTATGAGTTTGAGACGACCAGTACACACTGACCAGGTATTTATTATTCATGACAGTATAGATCCCTATTAGTTGAAGTTATTTTGGGTAGTGTAAATTTAAATATTCAAGCATATATTGTTTGGGGGATGCAGAGAAAGCTCAGCAGTTAAGAGCACTGGCTGTTCTTCCAGAAGACCCAAGTTCAAATCCCAGCACTCACATGGCAGCTCACAACTGTCTATAACTCCAGTTCCAGGGAAAATGATACCTTCACACCAATGCACACAAACTAAAGTTAAATAAACTATTTAAAGAATTGAAAACTGAGGGCTGGAGAGATGGCTCAGAGGTTAAGAGCACAGGCTGCCTGTGCTCTCCCAGAGGTCCTAAGTTCAATTCCCAGTACCTACATGCTGGCTCACAGCCATCTGTAATGAGATGTGGTGCCCTCTTCTGTCATGCAGGAGTACTTGCAGGCAGAATACTGTATACATAATAAATAAATCTTTTAAAGAAGAGTGTATTGTTTGAATTTGGATAACAAACTTTATTAAAATAATACTGTTATCAGCCTTACAGGGTCATTGGAGATTCAGGTGTGTTTAATTTTTACAGGTACCACGTGGGTTAGTGAAATTGTATACATGATCTATAAGGAAGGTGATATAGAAAAATGCAAGGAAGATGCAATTTTTAATAGAGTACCTTACCTGGAATGCAGAAATGAAGACTTAATAAATGGTAATTTTTAAATTAATTTTTTAAATGTATGCATAAATTTTAAGCTATATGATAGATATATGACATAGATTTAATAATATTGCAATAAAAACAAGAGAACTTTTAGCATAATATACAATAAATATTCTGTCACCTCTATAGGTGGTAATCTTATAGAATGGCCTGTGCCTGAAATAGTGAAATTCTCACTATTATATGTGTTCAGAAGAGTCTTATAATATGCCAGCATTTATTTCTTAGTTCCCTGACTTGGAAAATATTTTAAATACTAGGAAACTATTTAGTAAATTTCTAGGAAAGTCAAAACTGTATTTGTGAACATTTGCTTACCAATATGTGAAAATATATTACTATTTGGGGGGGGGGGAGTTTTTTGAAACAATTTTTTTTTGTAGCTTTGGATCCTGTCTTGGAACTATCTCTTGTAGACCAGGCTGACCTCAGAGTCCCAGAGACCCACTTACCTTTGCCCCTCAAGTGCTGGGATTAAAGGTGTGTGCCACCATTGACCAACTAGTGAACAATTACTTACTTCAATTGATGAAACTATTTAATCTTGCTCTGCAATTTATTTAGTTAATAATTTTCTTCACAGTGAAATTGTATTATCTAGAATCTTAAGTAACCTCCTTAATTTACATGAACAATTTTCAAACTGCCTGTTTTTCTCACTTTAGGAGTAAAACAATTAAATGAGAAGAAATCTCCTAGAATAATAAAAACCCATCTGCCACCCCAACTTCTTCCAGCATCATTTTGGGAGAAGAATTGCAAGGTAACCAGAATTAGATTTTCTTACACTTTATGTTCTCGGATATCACCTAAGAGACATCTTAAACATATTGTGTTACAATTTTCATTTCACATACAGATTTTTCAACAAATATAAATTATTTTTAGCATAACCCAAGTCCAATTACACCTACTTTTATTTCCTAGGCAGTTTGGATGCTCACCTAACTAGACCTGGAAGGAGGTGGGTGGTCCTTGGACTTCCCACAGAGCAGGGAACCCTGATTGCTCTTTGGGCTGATGAGGGAGGGGGACTTGATTGGGGGAGGGGGAGGGAAATGGAAGGCGGTGGTGGGGAGGAGGCAGAAATCTTTAATAAATAAATAATAAAAAAGATGATTCTGTAAAGTAGTTAGATTCTAAACCTTGGTTTGTTCCTATGTAGAAGAAGGGTCATAGTGTCATCATCCTAATAGAGATAAATGCAATTATCCTTGAAATTGCAAGCCTAGTGCCTAACCCACTGTAAGCCCTGGATGAATGTCAGAGAGCTACTTTTATATCCTTGTGGACTGAATGTCTCCTCTTCACAAAACAGTGTGTGTCATTGTGAGACATTCAAATGAGTCAGAATAGGATGTCCAGACAAGTGTCCTGCAATAATCATTTACCCAGTGAATGAAAGAGACCCTTATCTTCATCTCACTTCCTAATAATATGCTACATGCTGGCTAAACTATAAAGGAAAGAGATTTATTTGGTTGGTGGTTCGGATCCAGGGTCAAGAGGCTGAACTTGGTGATTATCTTCTTGTTGACAAAGTTTCAAGGTAATATACGAGTCAGGGGAGGCACATACATTTATGTCTCTAGTCACTAACTCTTTTCTTTAAAGCCATTAGTCCTCAAAAGTTTGCTACTATGGTGACCTTTCCTAACCTTTGACACCTCCCAAATGCTCACCTCTAAATACAAAAGTCAGATTATATTCATTCTACAGGTACACAGAATTCATTGTGATCATTGAATTTGGATATGGATTTTGGAGGGTAAGAACCATATTCAAACCTACCAGATCCTTTAACATGCAGGGTCATATGACACAGATAATCACAGATTCCATAGAAACAGTCACTTGAGTATAGAAATAAGCAAACAGACTCTACAGGTAGTACTTAGATCATATAAGAGAAGATTTCTAATTAAGATGCAGAGTTTAAAAGGCTGAAGAGGGCTGGGCAGTGCTGGTGCACGCCTTCATTCCCAGCTCTCAGGAGACAGGCATTTGGGTCTCTGTGAGTTTGAGACCAGCATGGTCAACTGCGTGAATTCCAGGACAACCAGGGCTACACAGATAAACCCTGTCTTGAAAAAATAAAAAACAAACAAACAAAGAAGGACTAAAGATGAACTAGTTTATTCAAACAAAGACAATGTAACCAGTTCAGCTTGTCTGGAAAGTTAAGAGTTCATGCTGGATAAAACAGTGAAAGAAAATTACCTAGAACTTATAGGAAAGTTGGACGCCAAGTTAAGAAATGTGGGTTTTCCTTCCATTATAACAAGACTAGGGCGTTTTAGAGAGAAATTGGCCATGGAGTGAATTTCACGCATCCTGCCTACTGGTGTTTCTTGATATATTTGGCATTGCAAAGATCTCAGGCTACAAACTTTAAAAATTCCAATGCTGTCTTAATTTCACCTGAAATAACACTATGATCATATTCTCCTCTATGATTTCCTGCAGAAAAGCTCTTTCACAGTTGTGCAATTTCCTGAGATGTCTCATCACAATTTTCTATAAGAGTATTGATCAAGGCACTTTTCTTCTTGCAAGAAGAGTGGTAGGATTTTACTGCTCCTTTGAATTTACAGTCAGATTTTATTCCATACTTTCTTATACCCTTTTCTTATATGAGGTCATCAAAGAAATAAAGATAATTGAATGGATTTGCCTTTTAAATATTTTCAGGCTTATTTGTTGATCCGTCAGAGGAGAAATAGTGGAGAATATTTTGGAAAAGCGTGTTTGGAGTGATGGATCAGAAAGTTTAAGTGATGGAGTAAAGGAAGTGATTTTTTTTTTGAATTTTAAAAGAACAAGGTGATGGCTGAGAGAATCGTCTAAGGACAATGAATTTGAAGTTGTGGTGTGTGTTGGAGGGAGGTGTATAGATTGAAGACCTGGAGGAAACTGCATGCTTTGTCCCATTTCTTTAGTGGCCAAAGTATCTGAGGACAGTGATGAGGCCTCTGCCAGATGAAGTTTTATAGTTTTAATGCTAGAAACAGCTCCTAACACACCTGATTTGCTAATCCCCTGATGTTATAACTGTGTATAACAAGAATGGAGAGCCAGTGAGTGAAGGCAGAGAGGGCGTTTTCCTCTCATCACATCCCTCAGGAGCAGCAGTGGTCACTTTTATTACCAAACAGTGGAGGGGAGGATCTTGAGGAGGGCCCAGATGAAGAAAATACAGAACTTTGAGATACGGATTAAAATACAAATTTGTAAACATGATTACTTTTTCTAATCGCAAGTAATGAAGCTACAGGGAAAATTGTCTTTCTTTTTTGTCTTAGGATCCAAATTGTAATACAGTTTAAAGAGCAGAAAACTGTACTTTCGACGGAGAGATCTGTCAATTTGATTATTTGGATTGATTTACTTTCATTACTACTATATATTGAATCAGTTTAAGTTTCATTATACTATTCATTAAAATTAGGAAAACAATCTAGTTGACTCAAATTTTTAATTTTACTGAAACTGTCATACAAATAAAAAGCAAGAAGAAACCTTGAAAAAATGTCAGAAATGATGCTGTGACCTCAGGCTATTGAATATATTTCTTAGCAGAATAGGACTAAAGGCTAGCCAGGACATAGAAAACGGTGCCTTAACTTAAAATACTATGGTATGTTTTTTTCCATAGAGTGTTTTTGTTTTAATCTTTTTTAAACAAAGAATTGATATTATGTTAGTTGTTGCAGACATGGATCTCTCGAACTTGAGGACAACTTGGTTGATAATCCAGGCAGTGATTTCGCACCTTATTTCATCCCCTAGATGATCTATATTTGCCGGAATGCCAAGGATGTGGCGGTTTCCTGTTATTACTTTTTCCTAATGATAACAAGTTATCCAAATCCTGAATCCTTTTCGGAATTTGTGGAGAAATTTATGCAAGGACAAGGTAAGAGCACCTCGTCTCCTTTGGATTACTTCCTAAAAAAGTAGGACAAACAAATGCTGTTCTATGAGGAGGAAAAATAAATGAGCTAACATAAACAGAGGTAATATATGTATATAAAAGCAGAACTATAATATAATATAAACAGAGATAGAATGTAATATAGTATAAATAAATATATACATATATGCAACAGATTAATATAAGTAAACAGAAACAGAACATTATATAAATAAAATAGAATATAAATATAAGATGATATAAATATATAGACAGGAATATAATATAAATTTAAATACAATATACAGATATATATAAACAGAAGTAGAATATTTGGTTTCTAAGAAATATAATATTAAACAAATTCTAGAGGAACTGCTGCTTGTAGGAGGTTTCTCTGTCTGGAGGAGGAAGGAAACTCAGAGACTCTAGGAATTTCGTTATAATGCCAAAAAGAAAAGGCACTGACAAAATTCTGAGGGTTGAGGTGATAGTTAACCCTTTCTAAGTCTGACAGTTAGCATGTTCTGTCTCTAACATATATTTTTATTTCTTCCAAATGTTTTAAAACTTGTAATATGGTTGAACAAAAAGGGGTAAGGGTAAAAAAGCCTGCTCATTTTTTTTCCAAGTAAAATGCCAAGGCATTAGGTGAGGATTGATGCCGGTATTTACCAATATTCTGAATACCTATAAAACTCTTATTTCACCAGGCATGTAGTCAGAACATTTTCAGTTGATTTCCCTGAACAATGAAGAGTTACTTGAATAGATATTATGGGAACTTTGCCATTCCATTACAGTTCTGACTAAAACAACTGAGTATTTATATATAAAGATGAAGGGTTTACACACCATTAAACAAGCCATAAAAATTGTATAGGAATAATTGAAAAATGTTTATAATCATATGAGATAATATTTCTCATTGGAACATGTGGTTTGCAGAAAAACGTACTCTAAAATACTGTCAATAAAATATATGCCTCAAGATTGTCAAGACTCTCTAAAGTACAGAAAAAATAATTGATATACCTTAAAGGGGGTAAATTAAATTACTAGTAACATCATTGTGAACCTTCTCATAAGAAACTTTGATTTTTGGCAGCAAAGCACAGAAAATGGGTCAATGGGTCAATGCCAAGTCTGGTGGTGACTCACACTTTCACAATTGAAATTACCACTCTTGTAATAATTACTATATTCTCTCTCTCTCTCTCTCTCTCTCTCTCTCTCTCTCTCTCTTTCTCTCTCTTTCCATCCATCTCCCCCTCTCTCTGTGAGTGTGTGTCCCACAGAAAGAGAGATGTATATATACAGACCCATAGAACCACATATACAAGCATAAAGACACACACAGCCACACACACACACACACACACACACACACACACACACACTAGTTTAACACATATTCTGGTTGCTCTAAATTAAGTTGGTTTCTTATTTTTTCTCAGCGTCATAATACATATCATTATACTAAAATTGAAAACGTGTTTCTATACATGAAATTATACAATAATTTTTGTATCCTTACTGAGCAGAACTTTTCTTAATAAGTTTAACTTAACTATTGGCTCTCATTTCTTGAGCATTTTATCTCTTGTTAACAATTTGAATATGTCTATCAAGCTGCAAAATGATGGTGTAGTACCTGCATTTGTTTCTTCTAATTTCAGTTTTCTATGGTTCCTGGTATGATCATGTGAAATCTTGGTGGGAAAAGAGTAAGAATCCATCTATACTATTTATGTTCTATGAAGACATGATAGAGGTAAGAAATAAAAGGCAAATGAACATTCCAGTAGGTTTTAAGATGCTCTTAACATCTGACAAGCCTGTGGATGCAATATTATCATTGGAAATATAATAGCAACCACTTTCAGAAGTATAAAAGGAAAAACATGATACTCTAGTTTGATTAAGTTTAGTGAACAAATAAATTTTAAATCCAGGTGTCAAAATTTTCTAATGATAATATTTTCAAAAAGAACTTGAATTCATAAAATTAAGAAACAAAATAACAGCATACATGAATGGATAATCAGCAAACTTGATATTTTACCGGACACTGTAGCCTGAGGATTTCTATTTTTGTATATGAAATTCACTGTGCATATACCGTGTATGAGATTATAATAACTAGTCATATTTGCTTACAACTGTGATTACAGCAATTATAGAACTGAGACAGGCAGCCATGAGTTCAGGACACGTTTGAGCCGAATATCAAGACTCGCCTCAAGAAGAATAAACATAACTTAAAAAATGACCAGAGATAGATGTCAGCAGATAAAGTCATTGCTCTACAAGTTTGAGGACTAGAGTTCAGATCCCTGGTACTTACATAAAACCAGGTCACCATGGAAGCCTGACCCTATTCCTAGAGCTGTGGAAAAAGAGAATTCCAGAGTCACACTTGCAGGGTGAACTAACAGAATCAGTGATCTCTGGGTTAAGTGGCACATGCTGTCAGTAAAATAAAGGGAAGAGTGATAGAAGAAGCTATATGTCACACATTTCTGGCTTTCACACACTTAAATGCAAGTGCATGTATGCTCATACACATGCAAACTTGGATACACAAAAAGCACACTCTTGCATTATCTATTAAAGAATAAATAAAAATGAAAATATTAGAATGAACTACAGTTAACATTTACAAGTCATTTCATTTAGGCCTAACAATTTTTGAAATGTCTCTTGCATCTATTTCTAGATGTAGAAAAATTGTTTAGAATAGTTCGATTTCCTCATTATTAATTTAATTCCAAAGTGACCAGATACAAAACAATATTCTCTTTCATTTTTAGGTTAAGACCTATTCACCAATTTTGTCAATATGATTTTCAAATCATTTTGTTTCTCATAGGATATCAGAAGAGAAGTGATAAAATTGTTAAAATTCCTGGGGAGAAAACCTTCAGATGAGCTCGTGGACAAAATCATTCATCATACTTCATTCCAGGAGATGAAGAACAATCCATCCACCAATTATACAACAATGCCAGAGGACATGATGAACACCAAAGTATCACCTTTCATGAGAAAGGGTGAGAAAGTCATGTGACTTTTTGTTGAAAGGTCTAAATTGCCATGACTTAGGCAAAAATCTAGTCAAGATTATTCACCCTGCATAATCAACATGTATTTTCTTTAAACTATTTTATCTTGAATATTCTTATTCTATTATGGATTGTTCAGAGGCATTAAACACTATTATTATATATATGGCCATATTTACTAATAATGAATTTCTGGTGCTTGCTTATTCCCTTTCAAAAGTATATTATATTGAACATAATGGCCCACATCTTAGTCTCAGTACCAGCAAAAATATCATCTAGTATACCAGTGTCATTAACTAGGTCTGTGTATATTCGTGTATATCATATGTCCTATACATATTATCTATATAGTTTATGATTTCTAACTAGAATTTATAACTATTTTGAGATAAAAACAAATTCAGGAAAGTCAGTCATATTTTCTTGTACAAATGACAGAAAGTTTTGAAAACTAAATGACTAAGGTAGGAATTCAAACATAATTCTATTTACTAATAATATCAAAACACAAGAAAAGGAAATTTTATGTACATAGGATCATCACCTGACACAATATAGTCAACTTGTATGCCTGAAATTAGGGATTTTTATATAGTATCTATGTAGCAACGTCATGTAAATAATTAGACATAAAGGTATAAGTGTGGATTTGAAAGGTTTATCAGCACAAAGATAATATTCAATAATGTGAATTATTACACTATTGGTCTCATCATTGTTGGAAAGAGGCTGCCTGTTTGTCCTGTCAGCCCAGAACCAAAATAATCACATAGAAACTCTATTAATTAAATCACTGCTTGGCCCATTAGCTTTGCTTTCTATTGGCTAACTCATATATTAATTTAACCCATTTCTATTAATCTGTGTATCACCACGTGACTGTGGCTTACTGGCCAGTGTTCTGGTATCCATCTCTGGTGGGGCTACATGGCTTCTCTCCACTCTGCCCTTCTTTATCCCAGCATTTAGTTTAATTTTTCCCTGCCTACCTCTATTCCCTGCACAGGACCAAGACATTTTCTTTATTAACCAATGGTATTCACAGTATACAGAGAGGAATCCCACATCACGTTATAGAAGGCTTGATACAAGAGAAAACATCAAAGAAGATAGCTCATTTGAAGCAGATCAATTAAGAATAAATGAGTTAATAGGAATTTCAAAGAAAATGTTTCAAAACAATAAAGGCAAATTTGTCATTGTAAAATAAAACATGATAATAATTTTATTGAGAAAACTGACATTAGGAGAAAATTTCACATTATTTATGAAAGATATATATGATAGACAAATCTCATGATTCTGGCTCAAAGAATTGATACTCCCGATTTCCTTCTGCTTCCTTACAGGAATTGTAGGAGACTGGAAGAACCATTTCACAGTAGCACTGAAGGAGAGGTTTGATGAGCACTATGAGCAACAGATGAAGGAATGCACCCTGAAGTTTAGAGACATGCTCTGAGTCATTTCTTAATCTTGTATCTGAAACTGGAACATTCTTCAATATATCCTCCAGTTTCTGCTGGTTTGTCTTTCCATAGAAGCAAAAATCTTTTGAAGGCTGATGATTTAATTTCTTTCTCTCTCTGTTTTAAACTTTCATATCAGTTTAAATTCATATCATAGTTTGACATAAAAAGCACATTTTTGTCCTATATAGAAGATAAGGATTCAGGGGAGAGGGGAGGCAAAGAGGGGATCAGAGAAAAATGTAGAGCTCAATAAAAAATCAATAAAAAAGATATTGAATCTCCTCTTACAGGTTCAAAGATTTTTAACAGAAACAATTTGATGTCTCTATATTTAAACATTCATATTTCAATACAAGTATTTTCTCAGTGGCACACAGATCAAAAATATGAAAGTGGTTTGAAGTTGGCAAGTAGGTAACTTTGTGATTGTGTTTAGATGATAAATATATACAAAATTATATGAAGATATTAAAGCAATTCCATGAATTATAATGTCACTTGAAGGTAATATCTAAAGATGCATAAATGTTAGAAAATTAGTTAAACTGAATAAAAGTATTTTCTTATGTTTTGAGCCCTAAGCCAATTCTAATTGAGTATTGAATCATAAATTGCCATCATTGTTGTGTAGAATCATGTACAATCTACACACTCTGGAACTTGATGGTTGCAGCCTTGACTAATTATTCTTTATCAGTAAGAAATAAAAAAGTCAGGAGTCAGATATTGGGGTAGGAAGCTGAAGGATCAGAGAAGGGGGTGAGCAGCCACCAGTCACCTCCTACCTCTTCTGTTCCTTTCTCCAAATGGATCAAGATTCTCTCTCAGCCCTCCCATACTACTTCCTGTCCCCTATCTCTTTCCAGTCCTCCAAACCCCTATTGCTAATTTTGATTAGCCAGTAGCTAGCTCTGCCCTTTGACTCTAATCAAGCATTTTTTTGTCAGAATACAATCAAAATATCACACAACATTTCTCCCTTTTTGTCTAAATAAAAGGGAAGATTTTTAACTAACATAGTAGAACTATATACGATAAGTATAATAACTAAGTACAAATATATATATATATATATATATATATATATATATGAGTTACATTAACAATGTTCAGTCCATTTTAACTTGACAAAAATCAGAGAAAATACTCCACTTTCTATGCTGCATTGGTGGGTTCAAAATCTTGCACTGAATTTGCTTTCTGTCCTAACTTGTATTACCAACCCAAAACTATCTTGTTAAGTCTCTCAACCTTATATGCTTTATGCCTCTTTTGTGAGTTTCTTTTCTGAATTTAGTAACAAGGAAATCTATATCTAGTCTTTAATTCTATCAGAGACCTGAGAAGGGTATACTATTACCTGAGTAAACAGGAAGAGCAGAGCAAACAACTACCAAAACTAAGAAATGAAATAAACAACTGACTGACTAGAGTGTTACCCAAGGAACCTCTGTAATGTTGTGGCATCCATTTTTTCTCTCTAAACTTAAAATATCTGGCAGACTTTTCTGTGATGCAGAAATTTTGAAGCACTGTCCCACCTTTTTGGGCAAATTTCAGAAGTCATTTTTTTTTGCATCCTATTTGTCCAATTTTGACAGCATACTATCAACAGTTGAGGTAAGGGTAGTCTCTTGTCCAGTGTCTAACTTTTGCCACAAAGAAAGCAAACTGCTTATGAAGTTTCTATAACTCTGTCATCTTATCTGAAGTAGATTGGTGCTTCCAGGAACAGACTTTTCTCATTGTCATAAAAACCTTATGCTAATAAAACATCTTAATTGTCATATTTTATAGATCTCTAGTGTGTTTGAAGACCACCTGTCTATATAAAATATACCTCAGTTTGACCTTGAAAACATACCTCACACAACTGCAAGTTTAATTGTAACAAGTAACTATTAACCTACATTTCTTTATTATCTTAAATAGTATATAATAATAATTTTAAGGACTAGAAATTTGCATTACAATGCTAAATGAACTATATAATTACAATACCTTAAACAAGAGTAGATATGTATGTATAGTAGGTTCTAACAAAATAACCTTAAATTTGTACCTATATACAAAAATATCATAAACAAGAGTAAAAATATATAAACAGAAAAACAAAATAACCCCAAATTTGTATCATTATACAAAAATTCATACCAGTATAAAATATTTAAGACTAGTAGTTGCTTTTTGAGTTTAAAAGGAGATTTAGTAATCTACCTTTTTATCCTACCATTTCTATATCATGCTTTTTCATTTCAGAACAAGATCCGTGAATGTAATTTTCCTTTTTTTTTTTAGATTTTTTTTCATGACCATTACCAATATCAACTAACTAATCCCCCTAAACAGCGACAAATATCCAGAAGCCACTGAATGACCAAAAACCTCCCACCCCACCTATGGGGAATATAGACACAGTGTTCTTAAAATTATCTCCTGTTCTCTGGAATTGATGGCATTTTTAGAGGACCCTGAAACAATTGAGATAAGTCCTTAGAGAGCTAGCCATATCATTCATTGTCTAATCTCTGTGTAATGAGAAAGTGTAGGGCTTATCTCAGGTCCTGCATAGAGTAGTCTGTGAGACTGGACCATCTCAGCTACCCATCTTGAATTTGTACTGAGAAGTTTGTAGTCTAAAGGCGATCTTTGGGTGGTGTTTATCAACTTAGTGGTATTACCATAATCTGGGAAATCATTGTGGGGCCCCATCTTCATTTTGGAGACATCAAGTGTCACTGTTAGGCATGGTCATAGTTCACTGCAGAAAACTTAAGCATTTTAAATGTCATATACAGCATATATCAAAGAGATTAAAGGACCATAATTTGTTATATACATCCAGAGTCCAAAAAATTAATTTTTTATTACCTAATAGAGACTCAAACCCAAACTCATATACAAGAAATTAGATAAAGACTTTTTAAAGAATTATTTAATAATTTATATGACCATTAATAATATAACAGAAGTTTAAATATATGCATATACATATTATAAAATTTGAGATAATATTTATACCTTAAGAAAAATTTTAAAGACTCAAAACAAAAGAATTGTGAGATTAGTGACAATAGAATAACCCCTTAATTTTGGTTTTTCTTCTGTTACCTATCAGGTGACTCTTCTGCCATGAGAGAGAGATTTTGGGTTTTAGTTTAACAAGCATGCTTCAGTTTAAGGAAAGAGAGATCCACACTCCCACTCAAACTTCAGCTTTAATTTTTAATTGAAGTGAGAGCACAAATGACCAAAGAAGACCATTTGTATTATGTCTATAGAGAATAGTAGAACCAAACATTTAAGAAGACTTATGAAATTTTATCCTGTTGTAAATGTGATATACCAATAGGCCAATTTAGTCTTTTGAGGGGATGTTTTTTCTGGATTATTAATCCTTTTTTTAAAAAATGTCTCACTTGTCCAGGGGTCCTCAGATTTCTTAGTTATATGCCTTCATTCTCCTGGAATAAAAGGAAAAAGAAAACTTGCCCCAATCCTAACTTTGGGGAGTTTCCCTTTTAGCAAATTATATCTGATCAAATGAAAAGCATTTGTTAGTCTTCTTGGTTAGTTTAAATTGAATTGTCATAGTATTTTATGAACTGTTTATTGCCTCTTCTAATCAAGAGGTCTCTCTTGTTTGAAACAAATCGTTATCAATTTTGATTGTATTTATAACTTTTCTTATCCTGTGGAATCAAAAGTAAAACCTCTTTCCAATGAAACATATATCCCAGTTTCCATTCTGAGGTCAGCAATATTTAAAATATATAGGCTGATTTAATTCAGCAGTGTTTTCTGTCATTCAATCTCTCTGCAACTGTTGTGAAGTAATTTCTAAAATAATTGATGAATCAATGAAGGGTAAGGTGTCTCTGTGGTTACTAAATCATATGCATTCATCTTCAATAATAGTCAGTTTCAGAAGTTCCTACATATATATCAATAACCTGATATTTTATCATTTGCAATAGCTCTTAAAATATCAAACTCATGTTTTAACTGAATTATCCAATCATTTTGTCCTAAATTTCAAATGTAAGACCCAAGTTGTGTGGAAGAAAGGAAATTTCTAATGTATATATCGACGAAAACTACTCATAACTAAAAAATACTAAATTTAAAACAGTCTCCATTAGTGATTTTTGTTAGTTTATTTATTTTTGGTTTTTTGATACAGGGTTTCTCAGTGTAGTTCTGGTCAATTGGGACCTTGATCTATAGACCACGCTGGCCTAGAACTCAGAGATCTGCCTCCTTTGGCCTCTAAAGTGCTAGGATTAAAGGCATGCACTATCATGTCAAGCTTGGTGATTGTTTTTAATGAAGACTTCAGAAAGAATTGTTAGTCATGTCTGGATACATACTTTTTCTTTAGGTCTAGTATTGCCAGAGCCTGAGTAATATTGATAAAATCCACTCAGATCACATCCTTCCCCAAACCCACATGTTTTATGCCATGTATAATAGAGGTCATTTTTTTCCACTTTTGTCTGTACACTGTCTGTATGATGATATTTGTTTTTTTTTGTGTGTGTTTCAAATGTGTTTATCTTCACACATCATAGACACATATTCTACAAATTCATAAATTTTGTCCTTAGGAATCTATTATTATATATTTATTTCTATAAAACATCTTAAATGATTTGCAACAAACAAAATGGCAATAGCTGAAAAACAATTGTAACTAGAATTAATGAAAGTCCTCTAAGGCACTGCATTGGCTTTTTTCAGTATACTCACTTAAGACCTCTTTTCTCCATGTTCGTTCCTGGAATAGGAGGATAATGTTACTGGATTATTTCCCCAGTGTCCTAGTACCTTTGTTTTCTTCTTGATAGGAGAGAGGAAGGAGAGAAGAGTGTGAAATCAAGTTAATTATTGTTGAATTCCCTGGTTCATTTTCAGGAGAAAAAACTTAGTGGTCTGTACTTCAGTGAAATGACCAGGATATAATTTGTCACTTAATTCTTTTTTTTCTTTTATAATGATTCGTTTGTTTCAACTTTGTTCTATGACTGTAAACAACAATTCCATAATGACATTTTACTAGAAAACAAATCTTCAGCATCCTGTAGAAGGGAAACATGGGAGCATGCTAAAAGCCTGCAGATCACTTTCTGTCTACAAGGCAGGAGGTGGCAATCTAGGAAACTTTTTTCTTTGTTGTTGTACTGATCATTTGTTCAAAGCCATTGAGTGCTTGGTGTGCTATGGCTGTTTCCTGTAGAAACATGCTATTGGGGCTGTGGTGGCCTCATCCCTGAAGCAGACTGATGCCAGGCCTTTTTAGCCATATTCCCCAGGGAAAGGTGAGTGCACTATTCTCCCTTTGGCAGCCCCACCAAGCAGGACAATCAGAAGCAATAGTGAGTCAAGTCAAAGCAGGAACTCAGTTTATTACTGTGAGCATCAGCTTACATAGGTTAAGTGACCTTGTGTGATGTGGGGGTACCTCTGTGAGACCCCTATCCCTTATTCTCTAAGAACGAGAAGGAATTTCCTAGCAGGGTGTTTTAAAATAAAATAAATAAATAAATAAAATCTTCAGACTAGCTTCATGTTCCCAGAAAAGATAGTGGCCTCCCTACTGGGGAAATTCCAAAGCACAAGGCCACCTGGCCACCTGTTGGAGACTGATAAAGATGTCCTGACATGGTGACCTTGCTCTGAAAAAAAAAGAACAACCTGACATTGCAGGATGGAAAGAGCAAAGAACTTGCACCCATGCCAAATCCCCGTGAAGGCCCTGAAGAGCTTGTAGATTTTGCCTTTAAGAAGCAAACCCTACTGAGGGATTCGAGCTCCTCCCTGCCTCGCTGCTACAAGTGTGGAGATGATTCCCAAGCTAACCCATATTATGCTAACAACAAACCTTGCTTATTGCAGTCTGGGATTCTCTGGTTTCTGGTGGTCTCTCTGGGGGTCGTAATCTGGGCACAACACCTCCAGTCAATGAGAGACAGCCAAACCCTACCTCTGCCTGGAGGAGCATCTACTTAGATTTTACTGTCTCATTCTCACCTCGGTAGCTTTAAGACTATCTATCCTTCAAACTCAAGCCAGGCTTTTTTCTACCCTACAGGCCTTGAGGTACAGGCCCTGAGATAATTTTGGCCCAAAAAACTGAAATAAAAATCCCCAGTCAAGATTTTTCTTCTGTATCAAACAATATGTATGCCCGAGATGTTCACACAGGAGAATAATAAAAAAAAATAGTTATATCCTTATATCTTACAAAATGGGAGGGTTTAACTTCAACTTATTTTGTCACATCAGCAATCAGATGTGAAAACTAGGAATAAAAGCAGTAAGCACATACCAGGCTGTCTTTTTGGCAGTATGAGAAATTAAGACTCTTAGTCTACTTGTATTTGGAAACAGACTTTATCACAGTCACAATTTGAAATGGTGGCAGATATTTCTACTTGTCTCAGGATGGTACAGCATCATTTAGGAGTAGAATTTGCTCCATGTTTTCCTGGCCACATTTCCTCTTGCCTTTCTCCGTCACAGGGAACATGCTTTTGTAGTTGCAGAATTCAGTCACTGTTCCTTGGATTGACTCCTAGGGGCTTGGAGCCCTGAAACAGCTTCTTTTGTTTGTTTTTCCTTCCAAACCAGGAGCTCCAAGAGTGAAAACAAAGAGCTTTCACTGTGGAGTACAACTACTTCAGGGCAGTAAGTTCAGAATAGATATATTCTTTTATCGTATTTTATTCTACCTACAATTTTAACCTACACCTATAAGGCACTCTTGAGTCTTTTAAACTTAAGACAGCAACTGACTTTGTACAGCAAAGCAAATAACTTTAAGCAAGTCATTAGTTTTCAGGCTTCACCATTCAAAACAACTCAGAGAACAAGGCTTCTGTTAAATAACATCTCTACAAACAAAGGTTCGTCCTCCAGTTCGTCACAAGTGCCTGGTAAGTAATTTATAAGTCCCATCATTTTAATTACCCTACATTCTAGAACTGAGAAACAAGAGATTAAAATACGAAACATTCTTGTATTTGTATTTTTTACCACAAGATAGGAAACATTTGGAAATCCTTAATTCTAAATTTCTTCCCAGTAAAAACAGAACATTAATATTTAAAGTTCTATTGAATTAGTCTTCTCTACTAAGTTTTATGTTTGTTAAGATGAAAATAATATTAAAGGTATAAATTGCAGTCATAGTAAATATTACTTTTCATCTTTTCAGTATTTCTGTTCATCACAGGGGAATATTCTGAGGCTGAGTCCTACGATCTGTAATTGGAAGCCATAAAAACAACAGGGAGGCAAGGATAATCAAAATACACTTGTTTCTATACGATTCTCCAGGATCTCGACAGTGAGGAACTATGCCAATACAATTCAAGCATATTTGCCACTGATAACTAATTTGTGTTCCCTTCTAGAATATTTTGGCTTTTTAATGTGTTTACATATAGTTTATTTTATTAGATAGTAAAAAGTCACTGCGGTAATTGCTCTTAAATTTCTGGTGATTTGTTATTTCCTAAGGGATATTCACATTTGATTTTAAGTGCCCCTCCTACTGCTGTCAATGCACAGATTCTCCATTTAGAATGCTCTTTTGACTGCTTTCTTTCTTCTTGGCTTCAGTTCAATAACAAAACACTATGGTAACAAGTTTGCACAGAACAAAAACGTTCTGGTTGATGAAGAGCCCTGTGAAGTAGCCATGGGAATGTTTAGTGTTTGACTAAATGCAAGAGTAACAAGTACTTTTTTTTTTAATCACTGAACTTTCTTTCTTGTCTCATTCTCCTGGGTTGTTAGAAAATTTATCTTTTTTTTTTTTTATTGCGAAAAGAAGAAAAAAAAAACATAAACAAAAAACAAGTTTCCACCTCCTCCCAGCCTCCCATTTCCCTTCCCCTCCTCCCACCCTTCTCCCCCTCCTCCCACCCTTCTCCCCCTCCTCCCACCCTTCTCCCCCTCCCCCCACTCCTCTCCCCCTCCCTCTCCAGTCCACAGAGCAGTCCGGGTTCCCTGCCCTGTGTTAAGTCCTAGGTCCTCCCCCCTCCGTCCATATCTAGGAAGGTGAACATCCAAACTGGCTAGGCTCCCACAAAGCCAGCACATTAAGTAGGATCAAAACCCCCTGCCATTGTCCTTGGTGTCTCATCAGCCCTCATTGTTCGCCATGTTCAGAGAGTCCGGTTTTATCCCATGCTTTTTCGGTCACAGTCCAGCTGGCCTTGGTGAGCTCCCCGTAGATCAGCTCCTCTGTCTCAGTGGGTGGATGCACGCCTCGTGGTCCCGAATTCTTTGCTCATGTTCTCCCTCCTTCTGCTCCTCCTTGGGACCTTTTAAACCAAGAACAACTTAGTCTTTTTCTCTAAACATTGACACAGTTAATTATAAAAGAACCTTTGCAATTAAATGCAAATGTTGTTGAGAAGTTGTTTTCAAAAGACTTTAACAAGGTCTTGTGCCCCATCAAAATCTACATATTTCAGACTGTTGCAAACACAAGTGTTTACACAGGGCAATTCGCTATTTCTCTTAGAAATTAAAGGCAAATTTTATTATTTGCAGTACATGTATTTCATTTTATTGAATTCTGGGCAAATAATTAAATTCAGAATGATTAGATTTGACATAAATGTCAAGGAGAGGAGACTGGGCAGTCTAGCATTTCTAGATTTTTCAATCTGAGTAGTTCTAAAGTAAGTAATTATAAATCAATTATTAGTGCATCAACTTTTATGAATAAATAGCATGGAAACATCAATTATATTTTCTTATAATTCATTTAATTATTAAACATCAATGTGGTGACTATAAGTTTTATTTACCCAGCAAAACTAAATCTGTGTTTCCAAGATATAACTAAAAAGAAAAAGAGACATAAACATATTATATCATTATTTTAAGTTTTCCATTGTGTGATGATGAATACTTGTTTCATGCTAAGCATTTGCTAACTATCAACTCATACATTTGTAGGAGAATAATGTATTGATTGTCATGAATTTGATATTTACTTTAATGCATAAAGTTCAAAATATAATCAGCTTCACTACTGCTGAACTCACCAGTAGGATGAAAAGTCCTAGTTAATAATTCATCAGTAATGACTGTTACCAATGAACAAAACATGTAAGATGTCAGGTCTCATAATTACATCCCTAGGGAAGTTATATTCAAGGGACAGTTGAGGAAGGTAAACAGAGGGGTGGCCTTAGGGAAACCAACAGCTTCCAATATTTTCTGAGATTACAATGACTCAATTTCTTCCTGCTATTAAGTTGTGTACTATCCAGGGGCATCATCTTTTTAACAAGATTTTGGCTCTGATTCTTTATCTGAGACAATTCATTTAAAGCTCTCAGGATTTAAAGGTAAGCCAAATTTGGCAATATTTCTTACAAGAATATATTGACTGTGATTTTTTAAGGAGCAGTTATTACAAATATGGAATCTTAAATTTATACATAAAATTTCAAAGATCCAAGGACTATAAATTATACTTTTGGGATCTGAGCATCTGGTTGGTGATCTGTGATTGTCAGATACTGGTCAAAGCACAAATATTTCACAAGGTTCAAAGAACATTATCTAAACAGTATCTTACTATATTTAAATATTCACTCAGAAATAACTCTAGGAACAATCTTACCTTTCATATAATCGAGTAGACTATATGGCTATCAGAAGAACACAAATATTATTTAAAGAAATCACTAATAGGATCATATTTTCTAAATTATCTCATATTCTTTTCAATATTATATTTATAGCAATGTGCATGAAGCTCATTATTAAGGAATACAGGGAGTAAAAACAACAGGGCTAACCTCTTTGAACTAGCATATTCTTCTCAGATAATTAATGAAAATTCTTACCACTTCACCTTTATTATTCCTTTGCCAGCACCTTGGCATAGCTTGGAGTTTCTCTTATCGCACCTTGTATTATTATTTATTGTTTAAAGGCTTATAGTACAACTTTAAAATAGCCAACACCATAGGACATACAGTTAAACCAAATTCTGCCACTTATTAAGAGAAAATTCTGGAGTAGAATTAATTTTCTCATTGTTATTTTCCTTTGTAGCTAAAATCTGACAGTTGTACTTAACACATTAGATTCTTATGTAAATTAAAGAATACAGTATATGTCAGTTAAAAAAGTTCTGATTGTGCATGTGTTAGTTCTATATGATCATTAAGAGTAGAAAGTCCTTTATGAAAGGGACTGACCACACTATACCTGGTATTTTGTTAATGTTTTCAGTGTTTACTTTTTATTATTGAGAATTTCATATGTGTAATAGATGGTGAAATAAGAACATATCTATTCCATTTTTCACTTGCAGTCCCTCCTTCGCTCCCTCATCAAATTCTTCTGACAGCCTCATGTCTTTTATCTTTATTTATTTTTTAAAAACCACTAAGTCCACAAGTGCATGGCTGTGGGACCATTCATTGGATCACGGTTATGCTACCAAGTATCCACATCTTCATAATTGGATTATTCCTCCTCGCTCAGCAACTATAATTTCTAATAGGTTCTGGTAAGGAGGAAGGCCTGAGGATTATCTTCTCCATTTATCCTGGAATTTTGGTTGGCTTAAACGACCTTGTGCAGGTAGCCCCAGGTGCTGTGAGCTCAGGAGAATGTTAGGCAGCCACGTCAGGGCCAGAAGACATTTAGCAGCATTCCTCCCAATCCTCTGGCTATTGCACTGTTCCCTCCTCTCTTCTGGAATGCTTCCTGAGTCTTGTGAGGGAGAGATTGCCCATTCAGATCTGAGAATTCAGTCTATTATTCTTTGCACTTTAAACAACTATGCTTTTGGTTTTTTTGTTTGTTTGTTCTGTTTTTTGTTTTGTTTTTTTGAGATAGAGTTTCTCTGTGTAGCTTTGCTTTGGTACCTGTCCTGGAATTAGGCCAGGCTGGCTTTGCACTCACAGAGATTCTCCTGCTTCTGCCTCCAGAGTGCTGGTATTAAAGGGTGTGCCACCACCACCTGGCTTAATCAGCTATAAATCTCTCCACTGACTTTAGACCGCAATTGAGAGCAGCCTCATTCTATGGGTGTAAACAAATAATTGGAAAGCACTTTGAAAACATGGAATCCATCTCCAAGATGGCAAAATGAGATTTTCTACAAGTTTCCTTGGGTGAATGTCCTTATTGATGAGAGGCATAGTTAGTGCCTAAGAGGGGGCACAGGATTCTCTATTTTATCTGTATCAAGAAACTTCGGATATTCAGTCCCAGTGATTGCCTTCGATTCTTGCATTGTAGGCGATTTAGTTTTAATTGTTTTACATTCTAAATACACACATTTCACAAATTTAAAATATTAGGTTTATGCTCATTAGCATTAGTATGCCAATCCCTTTTTTGAGAAAGGACAAACGCAGCCAGAACATTTCTGGGAGCCCATGTTTATTTAAGGAGCAAAATTACTTTCATGAGGGGGTCTGTGATGATCTGTTGGATCATGAAATGAAATAAAAAGCAGCTGAAGACTGTATATTATGACCAGGTGGTGGTGGTGCATGCCTTTAATCCCAGCACTCGGTAAACAGAGGTAGGCAGATCCCTGTGAGTTCGAGGTCAGTCCTCTGGTCTGGTATACAGAGCTAGTTCCAGAACAGGCCCCAAAGCTACAGTGAAACCCGGTATTGAAAAACAAAAACAAACAAACAAACAAAAAGATTGTGATGAGAAAAAAAAGAACAATCTATTTGTTGGTAGAACAGATGAACACAGAATTTTGGGTTTTAACTTCCACCCTATTGCCTCTAACAACAGTACAATCTTAACAGCAAGGCTTTTTTCTATTTATTTAATTCTAGTTTCCTAGTTTCCTGATGTGCCCCAAATTAAGCACTGAAAATAAAATATTTGAAGCTAGGATCCACTTATGAAAGAGAGCATATAGTTTTGTCTTTCTGGGCCTAAGTGACATGACTAGGCATAATTTTTTTCCATTTCCATCTGCTTTCTGCAAATTTCATTTTTCTCTACTGATGACTAATATATCATTGTGGAAATGTGCCACATTTTTTCTCAGTCATTCATCTGTTGATGGAAACCTAGATTGATTCAATTTCCTAGCAACAAACGCAGATGTGTGAATGCCTCTGAAGTATGCACTGAATAAATACCCCTTTGGAGTAGAGCTAGGTCATAGGACAGTTCTCTTTCCAGTTCTTTGGGAAACTTCCAATCTGGTTTCCAAAGCAACTGTATTTTTTTTTTCACCCTAAGGACATTGTAGCTGTCTTAGTTTGGATAAGTGCACGCTAATGTTTTTTTTTTTTCATCTGGACAAAATCAACTAATGACTTTTTCACAACTGTCCCCTATTTTAATTGACACATGGCTATATTTCTTGGGCATAGAGCAAGATGTGAGTAACTGGGAAATAACAAAAGAAAACAACCACATTCTGTGACCTAGTCTAGTAGAACTAAGAATATGTGGGCACAGACAAATAAAAATCTTTAGTAATTGAGCAAATGTCACCTACAATGAAATATTTATCAATAGGAAAGCAACCAGGCTATGATTTTTCAAAACACTGTAGTGCTGGGGATCCAGCCTCAGCTCAGGTTCAGGTCCTGAGATGGGGAAAGGGTGTTGGCCCAAGGAAAATTTCTGACCACCAGGTGGATTGCAATCAAGTGGTTCCGAATAGCTCGAGCCATCTATATTTATACTTTAACAGAAATTTTCTTACCAGCATTACATGAACAGCTTTATTATTGGCTCCTATTTTTGACTTTCAAGATACATCATGTTTTAAGAAATACATCTTAGACTAGAGAGATGGCTCAGAGGTAAAAAGCACTGGCTGCTCTTCCAGTGGTCCTGAGTTCAATTCCCAGCAACCACATGGTGGCTCACCACCATCTGCAGTGAGATCTGGTGCCCTCGTGTGGTTTGCAGGCCTACATGCAGGGAGAACATTGTATACGTAATAAATAAATAAATAAATAAATAAATAAATAAATAAATATTAAAAATTATTTTTTTAAAAAGAAATACATCATAATCATTTTTAAAGCCCGCATTGTTTCCATTTATACTTCCCCAAATACATTTTCCAAATCCCTACATAAGCTTATTTTAGTCAAAAGGTTCAACATATTTGCAGACTTAACTAAATATCGAGCCTAACATATCCTGCTCTTATAGCACTTATGGCAGCTGGCAGCTACTTGCATCTACAAAGTTAAAAGCTAGCAGACATGGGCACAATGCTTTAAAGTCAACAATATTCAAACACATGCAATTCTTTCATGCGTGCAATATATGCCTTTCTTCAGTTCCCTTTTCTACAAGAGAATCCATGTCTCAACCTCTGTAAAGGACAGACTTTGATAAGGCACTCTTCTCCCATCTAACTATGAATTCCTGCGTGTGGTAAAGATGGATCAATCCATCCCATATTTTACATTTTACATTATATCCCATATTTCCCATTGGATCATATTAGATCCTATCATTAGGACCTAGATCAGAAAGATCATACTAGATCTACATGCTTGGGGTCCAAGGAATTTACTCTCAACAGTTGGCACTATGTGTATTCCTGAGACTTTTCCTATTCTGTATATTCATGTCTTACTCTCCTTTCCTGAACTGTGAGGCATGGTTAATATCCCGTGTTGTTTTCTCATATATGCCTAACTATATTTATTGAGTTAGAAAAGCTCCCAGGAATAGGAGTTGTAGTTATTAATTCCAGAGAAGAAATTTGAGAAGCATTAACCCTCTTCTGATTCTAAGGGGAAACCATTTGAGAAAGAACAGAAGTTCCAGGAAAAATTATGGCTGTTGCCTGTGTGACTGACAAAGTAAAACTAAAAACTGCCAATAAATCAACAATATAATGTAAGAAAAGAGTCTGCAAGCTTCATGAATTCATCAAAGTCCTGTGGTGCCCTGAAGTCTACTGTTCGTTGCCAAGTGAGAGACCTTCTTCCATGGGTCTTGCCTCATATACACCCATTCATATGTTAATCCAAGATGAGGCTGCACAGCTTCCAACACTGTAGATATGTTTTGTTTGCCTGTGTAACTACTATTCCAGACATAGCCTTATTTGTTGGTAAGGAGAGAAGAGAGTGTTGCTTGGTAAACACAATCCAGGAGCCAACACATAAATTTATGTTTTCTGTATTATTGGTTTGAACTGATTTGCATAACTTTGAACCGTTTATGAAATTTTATACTGGAAAATGTTTAACTTGAAATAAATTATTCAACACTTTGCACCACATACCTTAGAGAAATGTATTCAGTTGATGTCAGTTAGGGAGGGATTTGAGAGAATTTGAAGGCCCGAGAAAATAAAAAAAATTGTAATTCAAACACAATCTGAGTGAAAGTCTTTTAATATTTAAGATGAATTGGTTCCCAGATTCCAACATTCATAATCTTCAGGTTTTTAGGTTCTTTACATAATTGCCCAATAGTTGCATGTATCTAACTTGTATTCTGTCAAAAGTTTCAATCTTGTCTATCTTACATTATGCCTAATATAAAAATGTTATGCAAATAATTGCATTCCATATTGTTTATGATATAATGGAAGGAAACTGTTTGTAAACATTTACAATGCACAGGTGGTTGATTCTGCTAATGTAAAATTCAGATATAGAGAGCTTTTTTTATCTACTGTCTTTGATCAAAGACATCTATCTGACATTGAATTATATTGGCAAGTAATTAATATTGACTATTAGTAATCTTTTTAACAGCTTAATACAAAGTCTCAGTCTTGCTGATAGTCTAAAGTTATATTTTTAGAAGAAGTAAAAGAATTCCTCAACTCATTCTAAGCATTGAGGCGGGTGGATTCTGGTAATTAATTGTATATTTCCAGTTCTCTCCCAACCTGTAACAGGTAAGAGACAAACAGAAGTGACTTTATTTAAAATCTTGTTGAAAATATAAAGTAACATGGGGTCAACAAATCTAGTGTTTCAAAGGTTTTTAGTGGACGATATCCTCAAGAATTGTGTATCCTCAAAAATTTGTGTAACTTCAAGCTTATTTCTTTTCTGTCCTTTTGTTGTTGTGGTATTTTATTTTAATTACAAGATTTTTTCCTTTTCCTCTATCTTCACACCCTCCCTTAAACCCTCATCTGATACCCTTCAAATTCATGCCCTCTCTTTTCATCAAGAGAAAATTATTTACTATTGCAAGCATGTAGGTAGTTGCATATATATGTATATTCTTAAATATAGCTGGTTGAGTCCATATAGTGTTACCTGCATGTGTGTTTTCACACAGCATCATTTGACATTAGACAAAAGCAATTAGTGTCTTCTTCCCCAGGGAGGGCTTCCTCTCACTCCCAGATTTACTCACTTGCCTGCACTTCTTTGGGTAGGGATGTGACCTCATAAGCTTTTCCCCATGCATTTTGGCATGCCCATTTGCATCTTACTCATAATCTTTATTTACTCTGCTAAATATTGTCTCACACCCCACATACATCTTTATTTGTAGCCTGACATATATGATTAAAACAACTTACCTGTTTACCTATAAATTCAAAGGAAGGACATGAAAATTTAGGGTGAGTTTGAGTTTTGATGAGGAGGCTTTGCCATTTCAGAACTTGCAATGATAGTCCCATGACTTATAGTCCTGCAGTAACTTTTCCACACATTTCAACAATCTTTACATTGTCACATGGTAGTGATACACCAATGAGGATGTGTCAATATTATGTTGTGTATGAATAGCATATATGGACATAGATGTACAAGACTTATTTGTTAAATTTCTTTTCTTTCCTTGATTCTAACACGTGAACTGAGTTCATGTCTCTGAATTTTGAGAAATTGTACTTCAATTAAATTAGTAATATTTTATAATATAAATCTGTATTGATTCTTTAGACATTTCACATTATACAACCCAATACTGATCACCTTCAAGTCTTTCTATATCCTCCCTTTATCCCTGCCCCATCCCTCCTAAAAGAACGCCCCCAAATCAATTAAAAAACAAACAAAAAAAACTGACTTCTCTGTCTTTCCAATACCTCTTCTTTCATTTTAGTAGCATTGGGTGTGACAGTGTGTTAGGAAGTATACTGTTTTGTCTAATCAGCCCCAGACACAAATGTTTATTGCAACGAATCTTTAGTCTGGTTCAGGTCTCTGGTCTCTGGCAAACCATCATCACCGGACCCTCGCTGAAACTCCTCTTGGATATCCTGCTGTTGCTCAGAATCATGAAGATCCTGAGGTTATCAATTGTCAGAACTAGTTCCTTCATGCATTCCAGCAGGTCATAGATGTTAGGGTAGGCCAACCCAATGCCAAAGATGTGGGTCTGGGTGGTATCTGAGCCAGTTAGTCTGGTCCATTGGATCACCTCCCTCAGTTGAGGGACAGAACCAGCTCTCCTAGAACCATGCCACCAGGGACAGCTCTCGTATGCTGATGGTGAAGGATGGGGCCATCACTCCTGAATTGGGGGTCCAACTTTTCCATAGAAGTCAAGGTCAGCTCTCCTGCTACAGTCCAGCAGGAGGCAGTACTGGCTCAGCATCACCTTTGCTTTGGGCATGAATGGTTCCTATGACCTCTTGTGGCAACATGGGTACGAACATTATCACAGACCCAAGCAGGAGCAGGAACACAGACCAAGACACGGCCCTCAGCAGCATCTCAGGCCTGGATGTCACGTTGATCCTGGTGGGTACACAGGTCCCCAAGATCAGTATGACCCCAGTAGCAGCAAGGCCATTGACACAAACGGTCTCTGGTGGCTGTCCAGACTACCTGCATTCACATTGCCCTTGCTGGTAACAGGAGCCAGAAATATCAACTCAGACTTCTGGCTGCTACCAGGAATTTGTAACATTTTAAATTTGATTGATGCTACCCTTTGTTAAAATCTAGTCTCTCCAAATGGATAAGAAACTGGATATGTTCAGAAGGGAATTAGTGGATGTTCAAGGGATCCCTCTCTTCTGGAGCATTGCTGAGCAGTGGTCCGAAGTGCAGTCATTTGAAGCCCGGCCTGATGATCTTTTGATCTCCACCTATCCCAAATCTGGTAAGAACTTTGAATTTCTTGACTCTCACTGGTTAGATAATGATTCCTATTTAGGAGCCTGCCTGCCTTCAGATACTTATCTAATCTAAGCTGAATTTTTCTAACATGTTAAAGGAGTATTGTGACTAATGGGAGCAATCTTGTCTCAGCTTAGATTGCCTTACGTCCATTTCCGAAGTATCCCATGAATTTACTTGAACCCACAATCAACAAACTTCCTGCCTAATAAATGCTCTAACATCCGCTTTCCTCTGTACTTCTACTTAATTTTCTAAGGGAAACAAACAAACAAACAAACGAACAATTATACTAGAGTTTAAGATATTCTAATCTACCAAGATCTCACAAATCCCACATGATTCCAGGGTCTTAGGAAGTAAACAAATATAACCTGACACTGTCGGTATGAAAAACAAGGTGGTTTTGGCAATTTTTTTTCTCTCTCATTTACTTTTATTTTATAATCAAAGGACATATGCAATTGAGCAGACGGAGTGAATCGCTATACTGAGCTCAAATGGGTCCTATTGTCGGGCACAGCACCCTGATAGTTACAGGCCAAAGTTCTTTGTATTCTTTTTTCACACCTCCATCAAATGGTGATCCTTTTTATCTGCCATTTTATTCACTTCTGTGCTATAATACCTTTTTTTTTTCAAGGCAGGGATTTTCTGTAGCTTTGGAGCTTGTCCTGGAACTAGCTCTTGTAGCTCAGGCTGGCCTCGAACTCACAGAGATCCACCTGCCTCTGCCTCCTGAGTGCTGGGATTAAGGTGTGAGCCACCACAGCCCAGCTATATTAACTTTTTATATTAATAGGAAATGCATGAACTGATAATTTCATCAAGTTGGGTAATTTCTTGCCCATCATAATCAGGATCCAACACAAATATATTTTAGAATATTTTGATTCAAATATACCATTTTGAAGAAGGAGTATTGGGGAGGGGATGGGAAAGGAGGGAAGTGTGCTATCATTACTTGTATACTGTCTCTTCCACACACTTTTTAAATCTACTTTTTGAGGCATTTTAAGTTAGAATTTTATGCAATAAAAGTGTCTACATCCCTGATAGATGAGCCTATTTCCTGTCACTTGTAGTGGTGTACATATTTGATTTCAGTACTCAGATGGATCTCTGAGTTTGAGGCCAGCCTGGTTTGCAGAGTGAGTTTCAGGACAGTCAGGCTATGCAGAAAAACCCTGTCTTGAAAAACCAAAAGAAAACCCAACAGACAAGAAAGATCAGTTCTGGGAAGAAGAAGTAGCAGAAAGAAAGAAAGAAAGAAAGAAAGAAAGAAAGAAAGAAAGGAAGAGGAAATAAAAACCATATTTTATTTGTTTCTTTGTTTGTTAGTTTCAGATACTTCAAAACACCTCCTCCTCCCTTGACTTTCTCATGTTCTCAACAGAGATATTTAATTTCTTCTGTTTTCCTCTTAGGGACAACCTGGATCAGTGAAATATTGGATTTGATTTATAACAATGGGGATGCAGAAAAGTGTAAACGGGATGCCATCTATAAGCGAGTGCCGTTCATGGAGCTTATAATTCCAGGATTGTCAAATGGTATTTTTTAATAACTATTCCTTTCCATTATAGGAATAAATTTACCAGTGTTCCCAGTATATGTGAAAGAGTCAAGAACAACAATAATACATAAAGAACAAAAACTATGAAATAAGTGTCTAGAGGAGTTAGAATTTGGTTAGGCCCCATCTACTCACAGATAACATCTGTATATGGTGAGATCTTGATTTAGCTTAAATATCTTAATATATAGAAATCTTCATCATTTAACTAGTGTATCATATTATATAAGAAAATTCAATATTGAATCCCACAAAATTATGTGACTAGTTTATACATATATATATATATATATATATATATAATGTTATCAATATAAAATGATACTTGATATATGATCAATAAAAATATGGGAATACATTACTTGGCATTATTTTAAACCTTGAAAAAGAACAATGAATATTATGATATAATTCTATCATAGGATTTGAATATGAGAGAGATTGACAAAGACTTTGAAATATTTTCATATTGTACACAAGATAAAGGGTAAAGAGAAGACCTAGAGATTGCTCCACAATTGTTTCTTCTGCTCCAACAAGATGTTACAAACCAGGAACTGTTTCTATAGTCAGATGTGGAGATCATTATACTATTGTACTTACAGAGGGTAAAATAGGCCACTTAGCCATGAATTTTCATGGTTTGTCTTTTTTGAGATTTAGGAACATAGGAATCTGTTGAGCCTTGTAACTAACAAATCAGAAAAAAAGAAAAATAGCCATTACCAAGCCATTAATAATGAGAAGATCTTGGGATAAATTGCAAAGAAATCTTGTGATTTCACACTTATAATGCAGTTTGTTAACGTGTATGCTTGTAGGTATCGAGCTGTTGAAAAACATGCAGTCTCCTCGACTCGTGAAAACTCATCTCCCAGTTCAACTTCTTCCTTCCTCATTTTGGAAAAATGACTGCAAGGTAGTCCAAATTTTACCAAGAGCGCACTAAAATTTTATTCAGGTTAAAGTCTGAGGGCCAGTAACAAACAGCATCATATACACGTGACCACTTCACAGCTTACTGATGACTAGTACTACTGGTAGATGGTTGAATTCCTGCCAGTTGCCAACAATGGAAGTAGTGTTCCTGTGCATATTTTCCATCTTTTAGGGTATGTATGCACATTTCCTCTTGGATGTGTGTTTAGGGATAGAAGTATTGGAACTTAACATGTTCACTCTTTGGTTTAATAGGTATTTTAAAATAGGATTTGAAGTGTTGATGAGCAGTATCAACTAAGTTGTCCCATGTCTTCATGAACATGAAATATAGGCAAACCATTTCATTTAAGTCACATCGGTGGATACTCAAGGGTTTATTTTGTGGTTTCTGATTGACTGATTGGGTTAGGACCTTAATTATGGCTTATTGACCACTTGAATATCTTCACAGTCATCCCTTTTTTGCTTCCTTTTACATAATGTTTTCCCTCTTCTCAATAAACATACACAGAAAAAGAGAGACAGAGACAGAAAAGGAGACAGACAGAGACAGAGAAACCGACATTCAAGTAGTGAAAATTAATAAAAGCCCTAGAAGAAGGTTTAGTTTGCTTTTAGGAAGTTGTAGAGACATCTTCATAGAATGTTGTCTATACTAAAATAAGTCAAATATATTTTTTAAGTCAAATATATTTTGCAAAAAGGCCACAGATGTTATTGCTAGATGCCTTGGGCTAATTGCAGTAGTTCCCTGACACTGAGATAAGAAATAGCAAGTAACGTTTACAAGGTTTAATGATTTCCTCAATAAGTGTACAAGCAAAGTATGCTACATCTCTTGAAAAACCTTTCAGTCCACTCCTTATTCTTATCGATTTCCTAGTTATTTGGGCCACTATTTTTGACGTAGGAATATGAAAGTTTCCATTTTGCTCATCAGTGGGGTGAGAAGGAAAATCTAATCATAGCTGCACAAAAGTCTCTTCACATACTATTTCTTCTTGTACTCATTTTTCTAGGAAATGGCTACTTCATACACAGCTAAACTTCAAGCAAGATAAATTTCGCTTTCTAGGAGAGGAGGCCTAATGTATGTCAGTAGATAGACTCTATAAAATAAATTTTCCAGGGTGCTCTCGTATTCTCTCTCTCTCTCTCTCTCTCTCTCTCTCTCTCTCTCTCCCTACCCCCAAGAAGGTCAGAAGACAACTTGTGGGAATCAATTATCTATTTCATCATGTGGATTCTAGGTATTAAAATTAAGTCATCAATCTTGATTGTAAGTGTTTTTACCCTTTGAACTATCTTGTCATCCCCAGAGTAATTTTTATTGGGCAATAATTCTTCATTCATACAGATCCTAAAATTTGATACATAAAGATTAATCCCACACATATTGTTTGGTTTGGGACATAAGGGATTATAATATTTTCTAGCTCTAAAATTGTCTAATAATAGTTTTTCTTCAGTGAAAGTTTAGATATTTTTCAGCTTAAAATTTTGTTTTATTTTGTTAATTTTGGTGTATGACAATTCCATATTTTTATATGTGTACTTTGATTGCTGTCATCCCTACCTTCTCTTGTATCTTTCCTATCCCTTTGTATAGTTTTAATTTTTCTATTAATTTAAATATACTACACATATAAATTTCTAAATTTAAGAATATGTAAGTTGGCCGGGCGATGGTGGCGCACGCCTTTAATCCCAGCACTCGGGAGGCAGAGGCAGGCGGATCTCTGTGAGTTCGAGACCAGCCTGGTCTACAGAGCGAGTTCCAGGACAGGCTCCAAAGCCACAGAGAAACCCTGTCTCAAAAAAAAAAAACAAAACAAAACAAAAAAAAAGAATATGTAAGTTGTTTGATTTATTAAATATTCAGTCTAGTTCTTTTTTCACAAACTTTCTTTGTATCTCTTTTTTTTTTAAATTGAAAGTAGACTCTTCTCTTGTACAATACATCTCTACCACAGATTCCCCTTACTCCATTCTTTCTAGGTCCCCTTTACCTCCCTTTTCCCCTAGATCCATTCCCTCTCCACTTCATCCCCAGAAAAGTGCAGGCCTCCAAGAGACAATAGTCAAACAGGACAAAACAAGATGCAATAAGACAAGGCAAAAACCCTCATATTGAGGCTGCACATGGCAACCCAATAGAAGGAAATGAGTGTCAAGAGCACGCAAAATTGTCAGAGAACACTGGCTTCCACAGTTAGGAGTGCCACAAAGAATCAAGCTAAAATCCATAACATATATGCATAGAACCTGATGTAGATCCTGTGCTTGCTGCCTCAGTCTCTGTGAGGCTACATGAGCTCTGCCTAGTTGACTCAATGGGCCTTGTTCTCCTGATGTTCTAGATACCCTCTGGCTCCCACAGTCAACCTTACCTTCTGGTATTCCATGGGATTCCTGATTTCTGAGGGGAGAGGCCCAATGAACACCTCCAATTTAGACTCTCTTTCCATTAATGTTTGACTGTAGGTCTGTGTACCTGCACCAATCTACTACTGCAAGAAGCCTCTCTGATGACAGCTGGACAGGGACCCAATCTATGAGTGTAACAATATCATTAGGAATCATTTCCTTTCATTTACTTTTTTTTTTTATTTTGCCAGTCAAGTTTGGTTCTACCCTAGGTCTATGCAATCTCAGGTCCCTGACCATGCAGGCAGTGTAGAGCATGGCATGGGCCTCAAGTTAAACGAAACACAGGTTGGCACAAGTTCTGTGCCTCCATTGCCCTAGTACATCCTGCATAATGAACTGGTTGTAGGTAGAGGGTTTTGTGACTGAGTTGGTGTCCAGATTTCTCTTTCTGTAGCCTGAAGAATACCTTCTCATGCCAAAGAGTCTACAGTGTAGGGATAGAGGTGAATGCTCTAGTTTTTATTGTGGTTAATTTTCATGTTTTATGAGATAATCTTGTGAAAGATTAAAGAGAATGCAGATTCATCAAAAATGGGAGATGAGCTTCTGCATATTAAAACAATATATAGTTGTGAATGCAGTAAGTCAGGCATAATTGCATAAATATCATGCTCAGAAACTGTAAAGAATAAATAAGCAATCTGATAATGTAAACAATAGTTAAAAACTATTAAATTACAAAAACAAACCCCAACCTTCTATTTGCCCCTTCAGATGGTCTATGTGGCACGGAATGCCAAAGACGTGGCTGTTTCTTACTATTATTTCTACCAAATGGCCAAAATGCACCCAGAGCCTGGCACCTGGGAGGAGTTCCTTGATAAATTCATGGCTGGACAAGGTGAGTCTAACAGTTCCTTTAATTGTGATTTCAAAACAAACTGTTTTTTTTCAAGGCAATATAAAGTTTAAAATCTAAATCTTATGAATACTATAAATTTAATATTAACCAAACCATCTCCTAATACATTATGGAGACTAAAGAGAAAGAATACAAGCCCCTTCCTTCTTTGCAGACACTTTTCGATAATTTGTGCTATATATGTTTCTGGTCCTAGGTTGCATCATTCATTAGTGATGAATGACTGCTGGCAATATATTTAAGTGCTTTTAAATATCCATGTCTATGCTGGATTATTTTAACTGTGTGTCCATTCTTTGGAGTCTCTTCTCTACCATTCAAAACTCCTGTAGGAAAAATTATCAGTAAACATGTTCCCATATAAATCCCCTCTTAGAAGCAAATGTGAATAGGTGACACCTAGCATAAACTTAACAGCTCTCGTTGCTTGGACTCTTATTTGCTCATGGTGTCAATGTTATTATCCCTGCTAAACCCCAAAGGCTTCTCAGAATGAAATGCACTCTACTCTTCCCCAGGGCTTTTGCTACACTCTCTTTATGTAATGTTATTTATTCACTAGTCCCTCTCCTGTGAACTTGCACATCGCTTATTGCTTGAAACCTTATTTTTGTGGTCTTAGTTATGTTTATCAAATGATATATTAGTTTACAAAAGGTATCACAAAATATCATATTGAGTGATTTAGATGATATAAATGTATTTTTTTAAGTTTTCAGAATCTACAAATCTAAGGAGAAAGTGCTATTAGTGTTTCTTTTATAGCCATCCCCTTAATCTGTGCAGGGCTATGTCTTCACCCTATTCTCTCCATGGCTTTCCACCTTGGTGGGTCTGTCTTAACTCCTTTCCCAGTAAGGGCAGTGATAGTATCAAGAACTGATTTTATTAGTTCTGTAGGGACCTGTTTTCTCAGTACAACTTCATTATTAGGTATGAAGTGTGGCCATTTCAGTATATGGATTTCAGAAAGACATGATTCACCTTGTAACAGAGTTACTTTTCTCTTTGAAAGTAGATTTCAAATTCAGTAACAAAGTGGTTATCTCACATAGTCTTATTTGTATGGCCTTTTTTCTTGAACTACAGAAATCACTGTATATGAGCAGATAATCACGACTTAAAGAGACTTTAGCTGTTTTCTACTCCATGTAAATAGTTTTTAATTTCACATTTTATCTTTAACTTTAGTGGGTTTTGGTTCCTGGTATGATCATGTGAAGGGCTGGTGGGAGAAAAGAAAAGATTACCGTATCCTTTATCTATTTTATGAAGATATGAAAGAAGTAAGGAGAAATTTCTGTTTATTTTTTAAGAAACCCAAGATTTAACTTCTTTGTCTCTTACTCTCTTTTCTTCTTAGTCTATAAATATGGCTAATTTATTTTTAACTCTAGTTCTGGCATACAATACTAATTCATATAATTCCCCATCTTGTTACTGTTATCCATCCAAAGACAACAGTATCTTTGAAACTAAAACCGGTGTATTTCCATTCATGTCTTCAAATAGTTTAGTTGCTTCTTTAAAAATGACAAATATAACTGTTTGAGTCTTGCCTTATGAATTAAAAGTATAATAAAACCCTCAAATATAGTTCCACTAGTTAATTTAAACAAAATCATAAGAGCACTCCTTTCTTTGTGACCAAATCCAAATGAAATTATTCTTTTCCCCTTTAATATTTCAGGATCCAAAGTGTGAAATTAAAAAATTATTAAAGTTTCTAGAGAAAGACGTACCAGAAGAAATTATAAATAAAATCCTCTACTATAGCTCTTTTAATGTAATGAAGGAGAATCCTAGTGCAAATTATACCACTATGAACAAAGAGGAGATGGACCATTCTGTGTCACCATTCATGAGGAAAGGTGAGAAAAGTACTAATTCATTTCTGTATAGTTTCTGGTCACATGATGGAAAATATAATTAATCACATTTTGTGAGATTGTAGGAAATTAGAAACAATTAAGTATGCTTTGGAGAGAAACTGAAAAGTAGAGAAAAGAAAAGCTTTAGAAGAAATACTGTGTACTGTTCTATGCCATTTCTGTGAGATGTAAACAGAGATTTATGATGAGAAATATTTGCTCAACATCTGTGCACCAAAAAGTGTTATCATTCTGTCCTTAGTATTTAACTCAATATTAAGCATCTTGTATAAAGTGGATATACATTTTATATATTTACATATATATTTAATTTTGTGTATGTGTTCATAAGTGACTGTGTGTATGAGTGGAAAATAGCAGTATATAGATGATAAATAATTGATAGACAGATGCATAGTATTGCATATGTACCAATCAACTTTCATATAAAACTCCCACAACCCAAAGGATTTTAACCACAAGATTTATTTTTATTTAAGTAATGTGTCATTAATAGGTGATGGTCACTGTGAATCTTGCACTTTTGTTTGATTTTTTTAGCCTTGGCTCCTTTTTTATTCTCTTTATAAAGCCAAAGCCAAAAGCATGGCCCACACATGTGACATGCATGAGATCATGTTATAGATGATGAAAACTGACCTTGTATTTTAAACTTTTTTTCAGATACTGTGTACATTAAACATGTTACCTTTCTACTGTCCAAAACATAAAACCTCTGATTGAGACAATCAAACAACACCAGATGAGTAGAAGTGGAAAACATCCTTATTGTAGAGAAGAATTATTAGCAGTAATAAAGTTTAGGAAGGTTCTTGAGATTAAGATTAGGAAGGTTTAAGCCTAGCAGTTCGATATGGAGTTGAAGATTAAAGTTATGATGCATTCAAATTGATAATTCAAATTACTATTAGCCAGAAATTTTACTAATCCCGAACTTTTTTTATCCTTTGTACAGGTATTTCAGGTGACTGGAAGAATCAGTTTACTGTAGCCCAGTATGAGAAATTTGAAGAAGATTATGTCAAGAAAATGAAAGAGTCAACACTTAAGTTTAGATCAGAAATCTAGAGGGTATTTTTTTCTTAGTCTCCTTTGGCTGGCACTAAAATTAGAGGGGGAAATAATGGATTAGTGAACTAAAAGGTTGTACATTATTTTTCTGTATTTTTTTTTTTTTTTTGGTTTTTCGAGACAGGGTTTCTCTGTGGCTTTGGAGCCTGTCCTGGAACTAACTCTGTAGACCAGGCTGGTCTCGAACTCACAGAGATCTGCCTGCCTCTGCCTCCCCGAGTGCTGGGATTAAAGGCGTGCGCCACCATCGCCCGGCTATTTTGCTGTATTTACACAGTCTACAAACCAAAGTTACCAATATCAATTAGTAATTCTCTCGTAATACTCTTTCTTTTAGATCAGTTCATGCAGTAGCGTTCCCCTCACTGTCTATTATGAAAAAAAATACAATTTTATGAGGACTTATAACATGCTATGTTTTCAGTTTCCATAACTAATAGCTTCCTTACCCTCTGTACATGATTTTCTTTCTCTCATGACATAGGCTTCTTAATGATGTTAGTCTCAAAGGTTAGGTTATCCCCTAGAAAAAGGCTACATTTCATGAATTCTAATCCTTCAATTTAATCTGTTGATATTTTACATCTTAAGACAACCAGTCTTTAACAGTGTCAAATTATTCTAACTTACAATGTCAGAATATCCCATTTCACCTTATGGTTAGTTTAGAAATACTACATTTAAATGAACAAATCAAGAACATGTATTTTTATAGAATTTAACGTAATGGTTATTAGAGAGCCAACTCTTTTTATTCATGTCATATACTGAAGCTATTGTAAAATTTATTGCAGAAAATAGTGATGTTTGTTCAAAATACTTCAACTGGCTAGTCTATCATCTACATTATATCAAATTAGTATCACTTCTGAGATGAAAACTTTGTACAATTAGTTACTTTCAGTAATCTTCCTTTTTCTTGGCTCACTTTTAGATCATGTTAGGGTCATTTTGTTACGGCTCCTTCTGAAAATAATTATTTCTAGGTAAAACAAATACTCATTTTTGAACTATCGAGAGACATAAATTTAAGATACTTTAGATTTGTCTCCAGTAACTAATGATTAGTGAAATGCAGAAACTGTAAAATAGCCGAATAAAGTACTGTAAGTTTCCATTCAACTCGTAATATTGTTTGTCATAGCCAGAACCTGGAAGCAACCTAAATTCCCCTCGACCTAAGATTGGATATGGAAAATGTGGTACATTTACACAATGGAGTACTACACAGCAGAAAAAAATCTTTAATTTTGCAGGAAAATGGATGGAGGTAGAAAACATTATTTTGAGTGAGGTAACCCATACACAGAAAGACAATTATCACATATATTCACTATTAGGTGGTTTTTAAATATAAGACAAAGAAAACCAGCCTACAAATCACAATAGACAACAATGAGGACAATAAGAGAGACTTACATGGATCTAATCAACATGGGAAGCAGAAAAAGACAAGATCTCCTGAGTAAACTGGGAGCATGAGGACCTTGGGGGAGGGTTGAATGGGGGAGGGCATAGGCAAGGAAGGGAACAGAGAAAAATATAGAGCTCAATAAAAATCAATAAAAAAGTATTCTTGACATAAGAAAATTGATGAGTTGTTTTTTTCCGGTCTGGGCACAGCAGTAGCAAGTGAGTATGAAGAGGAGAGATGGGAGAGAAGGAAGCAAACAGATGTCATGAAGAGATGTGAGAGAAAGAGAAAGCAAGAAATCAGAGTTCTCTGAAGAGAGGTGGACCTAGAGGAGCTATAGCACCCTGATAAGAGAGCCCTACACAGCCACATGAGACCACGATGAAGACTGGGCTCCCTCTGTGACCCAGGCCTTGTGTTTTATGTGGTCCTAAGGCATCCGGGATCTGTGTCGATGTCCGTGGCCTGCACTACCACTGAAGAAGGCTCTGAGGATGTCTGGGTCTCTACTGCAGCTGGAGCTGTCTTAATGTCCAAAGGTCACACTGAGCTGGCTCTACTATGCACCAGTCACCATATGGTGGTACCAGTAGAGACATGGCCTTGGTAGAGTTAGCCCCGACAGCATGGGTGCTGGAGAGCTGACTTTGCCCCTTTCCAGGGAAGCACAGGATTGTTGCCTCTGATTGAGTGGCTGTGGGAGAACCAGGCACTGACAAGGGGCAGAAGAGCTGACCCTGCCCCTTATTGGGGCAACACTGAAGAACTGGCCCCAATGGCATTGGCATGGGAAAGCTGGCATTACCTCATGCCAGCTGATGTCCTCAGGAGAGTGGGCCTCATTCCTTGTCTGGGAAGAGCAAGAGAGCTGGCCCTGGTAGCATGGGAACTGGAGAGATGGCCCCACATCTACCCTGGGCCAGCCATATATGGTAGTTGGCCCCACCACTTGTTGGTTGATGTATATAGCAGAGCGTGCCTCACCCTTTGCCCAGATGGTAAGGGAAAAAATCAATAAATTCATATTTAACCTACAAAAATAAATAAATAAAATAATAATAAAAATATTACTCATTGCTGTTCCTAAAGTCTCCCTAGCAAAGGTTTTCCCTTCTTCTGTTGTGAACTTATGCTAAAAAAAAATACCAGAAGAAGTCCTTAGCAACAACAAGGTTATGAAGTGTGGAGTGGCATGTGGTTAGGGGCACATGAACAATGAAAGCCATATTTCATTGTTTACAAGTATGGAGTGTTCAAATGATAAATGAAAAAATATAACAAATATAGATGTGAATGCCTGAACAGCTTTAGAAACAGGGTCATAAGTGCCCTGAGCATTTCTTTCCAATTTTGTTTAGATCATGTACACATGTAAAAAAATATTCTTAATTTCTTAAACTCTTATCTCTTTATAGTGTAACTTTATACTGGGTAAATGTCATTTACTATGCTTTTTTTAAAGATTGGTATTACCATATTTAAGTGGCAGGAGTTTTACAAAAGATGAGAACTTGTCAAAATGCCATCTATTCTGGGAAAAGAATTAGTAGGTTTTTAACTTATCATCTACAGTCTTGTTTTTCCAGTTTGGGTGGAAAGTCACCTTGTGAACACTAATCTCTGTTTGCAAGCTTGATTGAATTGGAAGATGGCTAGAAGATAAGGAAGATACACTTTGGGGTTTGAAACAACATATAGAAGAAGGAGAAAGCTAGGCAGTACATATAAGTTTTGTTCTTCCTGTGTCACTGTGTCCATTGGTGCTATCATTGTCCATCAATTCCAAACTCTTGGTTCTTCAGGCTTTCACCACAAAATCACCCCACTAACCCAATTACATCAAAAAGATATGGATCTGTGTCTACTTAGTGCTTTCAAAGAATTAGGCAACAGTAAAACCTTAAGTCTAGCAAGCAGGGATTAACTCCTTTTCCTTGAGATGTATTCATAATCCACTCTAACTGATACTATCACTTTGACCTGGGTTTCCCAAGATAAATACCTTATGTTTTCTTATGTGTTTATGTCCTGTCAATGCTCATCTGAACTACAGACCCTATCGTGACATGACTGGGATAATGGTAGCTACCCTGCTATATAGTGCTGAACAGAACATTTGTAACATGTATTTCTTTAATATCATCGTAGTATGTGTGAGTTCCTGCATGTAGGAGTGCACACCAACTAAGAGCCTAAAGTCCAGATAACCAGAAGAGGTGTCAGACTCTCTAGAATTTGAGATATAAGAGGTGTGGAAGCTGGGAACTAAACATAGGTCTTCTGAGAGAGCAACGATTGCCCTTAATGTGTATTCATCAGCTCCAAATGTGCTTTTTCAGTATTGAGGTTAAAGTCTTTTATATAGAGTGTCTAGATTAAGTACAGATTTGTTCCTGTGTTCCTTAGCTGCCAACACAGGTTTACAGGAACGAGTACTTTTGCTAAAGCTGCATTTCATCCTCTTCACTGTGCTACAGAATTCCAGCTGGTCTTTCAAAGGCATTTCAATAGAAGTAAATAATGAAGTGTCTAATGCATCAGAAACATATTTCTGGCACTAACCATATGCTTACTGATATTTTACAAAATAAAAACTGGTTAGTTATGTTGAGAGTACTGATGTAGAAGAGTAAGAAACACATTAAACATGTTTGTATTAGAAAGTAAATATTATGTCAAATAGGGCTAAGAATTAGCCAGTCATGAAATCAGGGTTTCTAATACCTCACTGGAATATCTGCATTGCATTATTTTCTATGTTCTATTATTCTGCTTAAGAAAACAATCAAAGTTTTAAGTGGTCATTTAAAGAAGAGAAAATAGGATATTGTATGTGAAAATCTGTTCTTCAATTCTATCATTCACTATACCTGTATGTACTTCTAGTACTGTGAATATAAGCCTACTGCAGACAACACCAGTGTTCTGGGTTGCTCAACTCTCTGGAAACAATGACTATACACTGTGGGCATCTATAAAAAAAGGCAGGAGAACACTGCCATGGTCTTTTATCTACTGGACACAGTACTTCAGTAGCACTCTTGTTAGAATAAGGCTCTGAGATGTTTATGAGTTACTACAGTGTAGGCTACCATACCACGTGGTATTAAAAAATGCCAGTTCAAGATGGGAGATTAGACTTAGAGATCACTAAATTCTCTACTTCATACATGAGGTAACAGTTTTGAGTGGTTAACTGTTGAAGGAGGCTGCTTATTGTTCCTGGCTGCTCAAAACTGAAATAATCACACAGAAACTATATTATTTAAATCACTGCTTGGTCCATTAGCTCTTATTGGCTATCTGTTACATCTTAATTTAACCCATCTCCATTAATCTGTGTATTACCATGAGGTTGTGGCCTACCAGCAAAGTTTCAGCACGTATGTTTCTGGCAGCAGGTCGATGGTTTCTCCCTGACTCTGCCTCCTTTCTCCCAGCATTCAGTTTAGTTTTCCCTGACTAGCTCTGTTTCCCTACAGCTCCACTGTAGGCCCAAAGCAGTTCCTTTATTAACCACTATATTCACAGCATACAAAAGGGAATCCCACATCAGTTACTCTTGGGTCAGGGCTTTTTCCATTGAAGTTTGAATACTAAATATTACAGGCTGTGTGGCTAAGTCATTCCTCCTATGATTAGTCAATTCAAGTGTAAATTAACAATCTTACACATTGTATAATATGGTTACATTCTAATAAAATGTGTTTATACTCTGAATTTTGAATAAAACAGAACAAAACAAACAAGCAAAATTATTCATTGCCCAGTAAAACAGAAAACACATTGCCATTTTACATTTTCCAGTCTTCCAGTTCACATACTGCCTCTATGTCATCTTGATTGATTTTGTTAACACTAAGAAAATTATTATAATCCTTGCATCCCAGTATCAGAAGCAGATTTCTTTCTATGAATGTCAGATATGGAGTCTCTGTTGAGGTACCATCTTTGAGTAAAAAGATATTTACTCGCCAGGCGGTGGTGGCGCACGCCTTTAATCCCAGCACTCGGGAGGCAGAGGCAGGCAGATCTCTGTGAGTTCGAGGCCAGCCTGGTCTACAAGAGCTAGTTCCAGGACAGGAACCAAAAGCTATGGAGAAACCCTGTCTCGAAAAATTTAAAATAAATAAATAAATAAATAAAAATAAAAAAAAGATATTTACTCATCAATCTCACTAGGGGGCGAACTTTCATTGTACCTTGGCTGGTTGAGTGGCAGATTTATTTTCTTTGTTCAGGTTGTGATTCATACTTGTCTAGAATATGCTGAAGGTTTTTTTTGTCTTTGGCTAAAAAGAGGCAGATAGGAATATTTTTTTGTCTTTCTCAACATCTTCAAGGCCCACATGTCTCATGACTCAAGTTTCAGTTTTTCTAAGATCTTTTCCAGCAAGCTATATAATGAGATATCATGTCAATCTCAAAATATTGAAGGGAATCTCTCTCTCTCTCTCTCTCTCTCTCTCTCCCCACCACTCCTTCCCTCCTCCTTCCCTCCCTCCATCCTTCCAACTCCTTTTTCTTGCCTTTCCTCTTCCTCGCTTTTCTGTCATTGGTGTCTGTGGAGGTCTAAAAATGTTAACCTTTTCCACCTTTTCTGAAGTTCAGAGAGTTTCTGCTTGCTCAAAGTAATTGACAACAACTATGTTTACACACTCTGACCTAGGGTGTGGTTATTTGATGTTTTGAACATTAGGATGACCATACAGGTAGAACCACTCCACCTTGACCAAATATCAGAGAACTCAGCATACTTCTGCTCCTTCTTTTGAGTTAGGAGGTTTGACCTAGGGAGTGACTGC